TTTTTTTTTTTTTTTTAGATGAAGCTTCGCTTTTGTTGCCCAGGCTAGAGTGCAATGGCATGATCTCGGCTCACTGCAACCTCTGCTTCTGGGGTTCAAGCAATTCTCTTGCCTCAGCCTCCCAAGTAGCTGAGATTATAGGTACCCGCCACCACAGCTGGCTAATTTTTGTATTTTAGTAGAGACAGGGTTTTACCATGTTGGTCAGGCTAGTCTCGAACTCCTGACCTTAAGTGATCCACCTACCTCAGCCTCCCAATGTGCTGGGAATACAGGTTTAAGCCACCATGCCTAGCCTCTTAAAATTTTTTAACGGAGTCTTGCTATGTTGCCCAGGCTAGTCTCAAACTCCTGGGCTCAAGTGTGAGCCACTGCACCCAGCCTACCTGTTTCAAACTAGTATAGTCTACCTTTTGATTTGAGAGACAGTGGAAAAGGTCTCTCCCTTGAAAAGAAATGTGCTTATTTGTGAAAAAGACTGAGAAAAGTCTTCAACTTAAGCCCTGTGAGTTTGCATAGTCATAATTAACATTTAAATTTATTTCAAATCTATGGCTTTTCTGTCATATTTAAGGAAAGTACAGGTTATTTTAAACTTAGATTATGCAAACAAAATTACTAGTAAATGTGCTGTTTGTTCTGAAGCTTAAGTTCTAAGGTAGAATCCCTGAGTGTGAAATAGTAGAAGGAGAGGAACATTTAAATATTATTCACACCATGAACAAATGAGCAATCTCTAAGCCATCCATCTTAGCAAGATTTAATTATGGGTTTTTTTTTTTCCTTGCCAGAATCTGCTGGCTTTGGTCAAACTACACAGACTACACCTCCAGGAGCTAGCAGGACAGTCATTAACGCTACACACTGTCACAAAATTAATATATGTTGAAAGCAGATAGGAAAGTCTGATGGATCCCCACAGGGATGCATTCATGCATTAGTCAATTATACTTTGGAAGAAAGCAAGCATGCCAGAGATGACTTCTGTAGGTAGACTAGTTAGTTTTGCCACAGAAGCAAAAGCACAGTAGTATTACTGATAAGGCCAACCAGAATGGTTTAATCTTTAGGGCCACTGGCCCCACAACAGCCATGTTGCTAATTCCATTTTTAGATTTATACCCAACAGAAAATTCTTGTACATGCGTACAAGAAGGTCCACTGCAGTACTGTTTTAAATAGTGAAAAAAGAAAAGGAAGAAGCCTAGAGGTCCATCAGCAGAAGAATGAATAAAATGTAGCATTTTTATTCAGATATGAGTTAAATAAACTAGATTTTTATGTATGAATATTGATAAATCTCAAAAAATGAGAAGCACATTATAGAAGCATACATATGAAGCACATTTAACATGTATAAAGTCCAAAACCACAAAAAAATCATATATTGTTTATAAATACATTCAAACACAGTAAAAATACAAAAACATGGGCAAGAGGATATGCATCAACTTCAAGAGAGTGGTTACCAGTGAGGAGGAAAAGGAGAGGAGAGTGGGATTAGCGAGGGATACAAAGGAGATTTAAAGGAGACTCTGATATTTTCATTTTTTTTTTAAAGCAAGAGAAACACTGTTACCAACAATCTCATTTCTAGGAAGGAAATGACTACACAAATATATAAAATGTACAAATGGGGTTTCAGAAAGCTCATTATCATTGTTGTTTAATAACTGAGTAATTGGTTAGGGTACCATATGCCAGCCCTTGTCCCATGCACATATAATCATTTAATCTTTGGAACACCCTTGGGAAAATAAGCATGATGAGTAATTTGATGTGTTAGTTTGGTACACAGATATTTGGTCAAACATCAGTCTAGATATCATTTTGAGTCTTTTTTAGATGTAATTAACATTTAAATCAATAGACTTAGAATAAAGCAGATGATATACCACAGTATGGGTGGGCCTCATCTAACTAGTTGAAAGCCCTAGGAGAAAAAGACTGAGGGATCCCAAGGAAAGAGAGATGTTGCCTCCAGATTTGAACTGCAACATCAACTCTTCCCAGGGTCTCCAGCCTGCCAGCCTGCCCTGCAGATTTCAGACCTGCCAGTCCCCACAATTGTGTGAGCCAATTCCTTACAATGTCTCTCTTGTCACACGCACATACACATGCATCCTATTGGTTCTGATTCTCTGGAGACCCCTGCCTAATATACTAAGACACTGCTGTTTCTACATCATACAGTTAGTCGGTTGGGCAAAGTCAGATTTGAAATTTGTCTAGCTCCTAAACTTGCCTCTTACAGGAAAAAAATTTCAAAACATGGGTCCTGCTTACAGATGGTCAGGAACATCATTTTAGTATTGTCAATGGATAAATTTTCATTTTTCACTAGACATCATCACTACTGCCTTTTGTCTGGGTGGTGCTTTATAGTTCCCAATGGCATTTTTATTAATTTTCATAACAAATGAGGTAGGCAGAGCAGATATTAATCACAACCACGCAGGAGGGAGGAAATGGGTCTCTGAGGTTAAGTGATTTGCTCGAGGTTAGTGGCAGAGACAGAGGGCCTGGGCCCCAGATTCCCTAGTCCACTGCTTTTTACTCTTAAGCTGCTAAAGGTCCCAGAGTGAATTCCCTATCTCTTCCTCCACGCAGCCTTGATGACAGAAGTTTTTTTCTAGTGATTTCCCTTATTAGATCAAGACCATTTTTAGGAATCCAGGAGGACAAAATACTACTACTGCTTTTCAAAAATAAGCAAGTCTCCTAAAGAAAAATCAACAAATGTGTCTTTGAGGGTGGGAGAAATATTCTAAGATAACTTCATTCAACTATCCTTATAGCACTTTATCCACCCCTCCATTATAGATCTTCCTTCGAAATTACCTGCAATTCAAGTACTTAGACTTAGAATATTAGGTAGTAGAACCAAGAGATGACAGAAGAGAGACAATTACACGAAACATCTCAACAGAATAATCTAACATACCTGGGACTGCCACAAAGAATTTGACAGCATCCCGGTGCCCATGGAAGCAAAGCTGTGCATGTGCCATTGAACAATAGGGTATAAAAGTCCCTGGAGTCACTTTATCGCTGTTTTCATCACCATATACACGGATTACACTTCCAGGACGATTTCCCGGTAAGCCTGAGGTTTTATTTGCTGCAACAGAAAAACCAAATACCAAATATTTTCCCCTAGAAAACAGTAATGAATGTAAAAGGTTACTGGTTAATCCTTATGATATTATCTAAAAGCTACAGCCAGTTGAGATAAAACAAGGATGGCAATGCCAATTCAAGACAAAGCTGGGAAAAAAAGAGATACAGCATGCTAGTTATTTTTAATTACCTCAGTAAATGGTGTAGGGGATTTTGCCAGTCTAGCAATAAGTAATCTTATTTTTTAAATACATCTATTCATTTAAAAAAGCATTTTAGTTAAAAAAAGAAAACAAATTTAAATCTTAGTGGTGTCTGTTTCATTTTGTTTTTAATGTCCATGTTAGAAAGCTAACCATTATACAGTTTAAAGTAAATGGGTATATTTTCAAATAGTCTTTCTTTATAGTTTATCTTCTGATTTTTCTCCCTCGCAGTAAGAATATTTCCCTTGAAGGGGTTGGTAAAAAGCTGTGCTTACAAGAATCCAGTCACTACAATAAAATAGTTTTTATTGATATCAGACTGATGGTGTGCTGCATTATTGTAAAACACCAGACTCACAAAACATCCCCATTCCATAGGCAAGTTAAGTAAATGAAAGAAATATGATCAGTAACAAGAGTAAACAATGTAAATTAATGACAGCTTAAGAGATGTTTCATGTTTATACTGGAAGGAAAGTAAAGTCTGAAAAAAAGTTCAGCTGCAACAAAAGATGATAAATAGACTAAGCTGCTGAGCAGTTTGGTGGCCATGTAACAAACATTAAAAAAAAAAGACACCTGCTGCAATGCAGTGACTGCAAGTGGATGACATTTAGGAACATTCAAAAGGATATTCTAGAGGAGTGGTAACAGCCTTATAGTGGCTATCAGAAGCCAGGAAGAAGAGCTTGGTTCAGGATCTGCACTTACCCCTCAGCCCCAGTAAACGTCCCTGGTGGAGGATTACGGCTAAAGTGAGAAAGGAGGAAAGGGGACATGGAGAGGTGCACGACAGGGAGGAGAGAATTACTGTGAGCCACCACTCTCAGTGTCTTCTATCTGGTAAACCTGGCGCTAAAAGCCCCTAACGAAATTAACAAGATCCCACTTGGCATAATACCAAGTAACACATAAAAGTTCTTCCCAAAGCTTCTATAGAATCTCTGCTCAAAAAAGAAAATCTGATTGATGGTGGTTTTGGGTTTTTTTTTTAATAATAAAGCAATGTTAGTGAATCTGAATCAAAATATTAAGAACTCAATGTGCAGCATTTCCTAATGCTAAAATTTCTCCTTTATTTCTCTTTTCCTTTCTCTCTCTCTCTCTCTCTCTCTCTCTCTCTCTCTGTGTGTGTGTGTGTGTGTGTGTGTGTGTGTGTGTGTGTGTGTGTGTTTTAAAAAAGAAATTCTGTTCCAATGATTATGCTAAAATGAAACTCTTATAAAGAACTGAAATGAACTCTAGGGGATCCTGGAATCTCTTCAGATATAAGGAGAAATCTAAATATGACTTGTAAGTAACCGCAGAAAAGACAACTGGGATTGAAAACTTGGGTTCTTTTAAAGGCTTCCAAAATAGCTTCTAGTCTTTGTCCCTCCTCTGGCCTGAAAAAAGGTAAGGTGATTCTGAGGTGTATATTTATTAATGCATTTTATGGTCTTACATTATTTGCTTTTAAACCATTCCCTGCCATGAATTTTGCAACACAAAACATTTACTTAATGGATGATTGATGTAATGGAACATCATATGAGAAACACACAAGGCATATTTTATTCATAAAAACAATAAATCACATTCTTTTTAAAATAGAAGATAGATGGAAAGCCTTGCTGAACTCCTGAGAAACTTCTTCCACAACTGTTTTCAAACCTCAAATAAGACAAATGGAATATCCTAAACTATCTGCTAGGAGATATGAAAAACTAGGATGAATGCCAGGTAGTGTTTCTGGATAAAGGTATATATAATAATGCTTAAAAAAGATGGACTTCAACTTTTATTTCAAAGATGAAATAGGACTGTGATTCCTTAATTGTAAAAAGGAGCTTCTCACAATGAAAACCTTTTAATTATGAGTATTGGTCTTGATACATGAAAACTTATTTTCCTAGAGTTTATAAGTTTCACTGAGTGAAGTTAACAATAGCTAGATCTTTGCCATCACTGATTTTCTGAGCTAACACAGATTTGAATTCCAGGCATAACTATTTCCTATAATTCTCCTATTTGTCCCATGGCAGTTATCTAAAAATATACTTACTTTCTGTCAATGGGATGGAGATAATGACACCGTTTCCTGTCCCCACCCACAAACGATTACAAGACACCATGAGAGCTGTGATCCTCACAAAAGAGAAGCCCAATTTTCCAGTACCTGTAAAGAAAGGAGGGAACACTTTATTGAGAAACTAGAGCAGGCACTGTGTTACATTCCAAGGTCCTTAGAAGTAGCAGGATTACAAAACAAAACAAAATAAAAAACAAGTAGCAGGATTGATACAATACAGAAGAAATGTGACTAGAGCTAAATGGATGTTTCCTGAAAGTTCATATCAAAATAAACTCTTATTGGGGCTTATTGTCTATCTGACAATTCAGGGTCAATGGAAAAAGAAAAGCTTAAAAGTGGGTAACATACCTATTAGTTAGAATTAAAGTACACAGGAAGTAAGGCACATCAGAACTGTGACATCGGATTTACTTAGGGAGCTGTAAAATCAAACCAACACATACAACAAAAAACTCCAGCAAAAAACAGTGAAGCTGGCTGGGCACGGTGGCTCACGCCTGTAAATCCTAGCATTTTGAGAGGTCAAGGTGGGACAACTGCTTGATCTCAGGAGTTTGAGACTACCTGAGCAACATAATGAGACCTCATCTCTACAAAAAGTACAGAAATTAGCCAGGCATGGTGGCACATGCCTGTAGTCCCAGCTATGTGGGAGGCTGAAGTGGGAGGATCATTTGAGCCCAGGAGTTTGAGGCTACTGTGAACTATGATAGCACCACTACACTCCAGCCAGTGCAACAGAATAAGACTTTGTCTCTAAAAACAAACAAACCCAGAGAAATCAAGTGTCCTTTGCTCTTATAAGCTGAAAAAGTTCTGGTTGCTCTTAAGTTTTCTTTGCATAGACTAAAATCTTTGTAAACAAAATCTACACTTTTCCCCTCAGTTATATACTTGGGTTCTAAAGCAGTTTAAAAATTTTAAGTGTTATATAAAAACAATTTAGGAAGAATAAATGCATTTTTGTATTTCAAGTTAACTTTTGCAACTGATCTTATTTTCAGTGACTTGATAGGCAAATTTATTGAACAGAAAATATATTTAAGAAATACACTAGTCACTCATAAGTTCTACTGACAAGAACTGTGGGCATGATCACAGAATCAGTGTTAGAAGGGGGCTTAACCACCATTCAGCCTATCCTGGGAACTTTTAACTTCCAGTCAAAGTACATCCCTGAAATTAGTTTGTGTTTGCATGTGTATACATAGCTAGAAATAAGGTTTTCTGAGGGCAGTAACTCTAAATGGTTGAAAACCACTGATTCAGTTCATTTTTCATGAAAGGATTCTTTTATGACATTCCTAATAATCATTATAGCACTGGGTCAGGTGCTAAAGATAGAGCAGGGAATAAGACAAAGATGGTCCCTGATCTTCATGGGATTTAGGGTCTGTAGGAGAGAGATCACAATAATGACAAGCCCATAAAGAAAAACTATGACAGGACCTAAATGAAGGTCTCTCTTGAATATGACAGGTAGGCTATGACCTGAAAGCTAAATAAGTTAAAAAGGGACCAAGAAGAACTTCCCAGGTAGACAATACAGCAGCACATGTGAGGACCCTGAAATGGGAAGGAACTTGTTGAGCTGTCACAGTGTGAGCAAGGAGAGTGTCTGAGAACATGTAAGGTCTCCCAGTCGTGTCACCTCACCTAAAGGCAAGAGTAGAGTGTGTCATGGTAATATCTGCACCTTGGTTATAGGCAAAGAACAGACTGGAATGGCAACAAGGAGCCCAGTTAGGAGGCTTATGGTTACCTGGGGATAAAAGGATAGTGGTAGAGATAAAGAAGTAACTGATTAAATATAGTTTCAGAGGCAGACTTGACAGTTCCTGATGGCAGATCAGATGTGGAGAATAAGAGAGGAGGAGTCCAAAATGATCCCAACTTTCCATCAAGAACAATAGGGGCCAGGTGCACTGTCTCATCCCTGTAACACCAGCACTCTAGGAGGCTGAGGTGGGCCAATCACTTGAGCCCAGGAGTTTAAGACTAGCCTAAGCAACAGAGTAAAACCCATTTCTTTAAAAAAAAAAAAAAAAAAAAAAAAGGTAGCTGGGCATGATGATGTGGGCCTGTATTCTAGCTAACAGGGAGGCTGAGGTGGGAGGATCACTTGAGCCCAGGAAGTCAAGGCTGCAGTGAGCTGTGATGACACCACTGTATTCCAGTCTAGGTGACAGAGTGAGACCCTGCCTAAAAAAAAAAAAAAAAAAAAAAAAAAACAAGGTAGATTGAAACATCTGTCTGACACTTTCAATGATAAAAGTTCACTATTCCTGAGGTAACTTAATTCATTGGTTCTACCCAGGATTTTAGGCTATTTAAAAATAAAAACAAGGGCTGAGTGAGGTGGTATGTGCCTACCTACAGTCCCAGCTACTCCGGAGGCTGAGGTGAGAGGATAGCTTGAGCCCAGGAGATCGAGGCTAGAGTGCACTATGACTGCACCTGTGCATAGCCATGCACTCTATGCTGGGCAACAAAGCAAGACCCCGTTTCAATAAATAAATAGACAAATAACATAAAATAATACAAAACACCCTCTTTGATTGGTAAAGATAAAACGCGTTGGAAGCTTACCTAACATTTTGCTTACATAAGGCTCAATGTCCACATCCTGTAGATGTTGATAAGTGTGTGCATGATAGAGACGGAGAGTAGAATCCAAGCGAATGGAGACCCACACGCCATCCCCCACCCATGCAAGCTGTCGCACTTGGCTCTCCTTCCTGGGATGAGCATCAAAAGATTTCTAGGAGAGATTGTCCAATCACAAAGTTAATTTTGCTACATAGGAGTACATATTTAAAACTATGCTAATTTGCACAACAAGTTAACAGACTATTAAAAGAGAAGCCCAAATATTACATATTAAACATGATTACTTTCATATACACAATTGCTTTCATCCTAGAATGCAAAACAAAATAAAGAACTAAGAACAAGATACTGGATTTCAGAACTATATAGGATATCAACTTATAAAAGCAATACTAACATATCCACACTATGTAACAATGTTCAACAGAAAGGCTTTCTTTCTTTTTTTTTTTTTTTTTTTTTGAGACAGAGTCTTTGCTCTTGTCACCCAGATTGGAATGCAATTGCACAATGTCGGCTCACTGCAATGCCTCCCAGGTTCAAGTTATTCTCCTGCCTCAGCCTCCCAAGTAGCTGGGATTACAGGCACACACTACCATGATGGGCTAATTTTTATGTTTTAGTAGAGATGGGGTTTCGCCATGTTGGTCAGGCTGATCTCAAACTCCTGACCTCAAGTGATCTGCCCTCCTCGGCCTCCCAAAGTAGAGTGAGCCACTGCACCCGGCCTAACAGGAAGATTTTATTTCTGGATTTTGCGTTGTTGCAGAGCCCCTGTGTTGAAATAACATCACAATTATAATTCATCAGGCTGGGTGCTGATGGCTCACACCTGCAATCCCAGCACTTTGGGAATCCGAGGTGGGGGATCTCTTGAGCCCGAGTTTGAGATCAGCCTGGGCAACACAGTGACACCCCAACTCTACTATAAACACAAAAATTAATCAAGCATGGTGGTGCATGCCTATATTCCAAGCTATTTGGGGGGGAGGACTGCTTGAGCCCAGGAGTTTGAGGCCAGTCTGGGCAACATAGCAAAACCCCGTCTCTACAAAAAACTTCTTAAAAAATCAGCCAGGTGTAATGGTGTGTGCCTGTGATATTAGCTACTTGGGAGGTTGAAGCAGGAGGACTGCTAGAGCCCAGGAGTTTGAGGCTGCAGTGAGCTATGATCACGCCCCTGTACTCTATCCTGGGCGACAGAGTGAGACCCCTGTCTCAAAACAAACAAACAAAAATGCCAAAATGTAATTAAACTAAAAGGAACCACACTGCTGTATATGTGTGTGAGATATAAGCTGAACATTTCCAATCCAAAAATCTGAAATCTGAAATGCTTCAAAATCTGAAAGTCTTTAAGTGCTGATGTGACACCATAAGTCACCCTGAATACATTATTTTTTTTTACTGCATTAATGGTGTATCATATTTTTGACTGTTATAAAGTATACGTGAAACATAAATAAATTTTATATTTAGACTCTGGGTTCCATACCCAAGATATTTCATTATCTATGTATATGCAAATATTCCAAAATCTGAAAAAATCCAAAATCTGAAACACTTCTGGTCTTCAGCATTTTGAATAAGGGACACTTGACCTATGTGTGGGTGGATGGATGGATGGATGGATGGATGAATAGATGAATGGATAGATGGATGGATGGACAGGCAGATAGATAGACAGATAGAACAGATATAAAAAACAAATACCAAGTGGTTAACTTTGGGACTTCTAGGGAAAGAAATGTGATTTGGGGGAGGGTGAAAATTTTAAGATGAAGCTTTCACCTTCAAATTTTCTTATCAGTTTTTTTATCCCTAAACAATTAGAATGCACTTATGTATTGTGGCAAAAAAAAAAAACCAAAACAAAACAAAACTTGTAAGAAAACAATACTAGGAGATTTTCATTTTTACAACAAATTCCCAGTGCAATGTTATTTCTGTCTGAGACACATATGTGGATGTGCCTGGATACACATAGGGAGGACAGGGAGGAATCCTCTTCTCAACCAATCCTCATATAACTAAACATATCAAGAATCATGTATTCAAACAGAAATACATATATATCTCTGGATACATGCACAGACACACATGTAAACATTCATGTATGAATCCTCTTTCCTTTTTAAAGAAGCCATTTCCTCCCCTCACAGTCATAAACGGCAAGAGAGTTGAAGTAACACAGAAAGCTAAGATATTCAAATACATTACTCAAGTGCCCTTAAAACACACAGAACAAGAAAACAATTTCTAAAGAAGCTGAAAATAATTATAGTCCAACAGTCTTTGGATAATACAAATTCAATAAATACAGAAAACATAGGCTGACTTGCCTCTATTTTCATGGCCTTTGGCTGCACCACATAGATTTTGTTCCTATAGCCACACCAGACTTTGTCATGTACCACAGTCATGCAACGGATGGAATGATGAGGCCGTCCAAGGTCTAAGAGGTGATAGTTTGATAAATCCCACTGCCCATCTTTAAAAGAAATAAAAGATTATAGTTAACACATACCACCTGCTACTCAATTTCAACACAAGAAACATTTTATTTGTTGTATAATTAAATTTATTGAGGAAGCACTCAAAGTACCATGTACTAAGTATATCTTTTATTTGCAGACTGAGTTCTTTTATTCCATAAGCTACCAAGTTGAAAGGGACCCTCAAAGATCATCTGCTTCAAACTGCCACCCAGTACCCCCTTTAAAACATGCTCACAAAAGCAGTGATGTGATAAATCAGTTACAAGTTATCTGTTTATCATATTTTTAGAATTAGAAATGACTTAAGGTTATTTTGGGAATAATGTCTCTCAATCACTTGCATTTTCATGTATTTTCTTGGGTAGAAGTTGAGGGTAACTCATTGCTAACACTTTAGGAATTATGCATACTACATTTTCAGTGATAATAGAAATACGAAGGAGAACCAGTCACCAGAACCTTGCGTTGCTTTCTTAGCTTTTGTGAGCACATTGCCTCATAAGGCAGCCATCCCATTTTCAGACAGCTTTAGTTGAAGAATATTACCCATACCTAGCTAAGTCTGCCTCTTTGTATGTAATTGCCCATTAGTCTGCAGTCTTGCAGAGTGGAAACAAAAGAATAAATCCAATCCAACCTTCTTCCTTATAGCCCTATGTCTTCTCCTTTCAAAACCAAGTATCTTCGGCATATGCTCTGTACCTACCACAGTTTATAGACCCTTCAACCTAACTCTGTTTTGTTGATGTCCATTGAAGATGCTGTTTTATCTAGCCTAGTAGAGCAGGATTATCACCAGTCCTGTCCTGAATACTTTTTTCTTTGAGGCTTAATACATTAAACTCATATCGAGTCTATAGTCAACCTTTAGGTCATTCTCACTATTCAGACTTGTCTCCCCATCTTGTTCTTCTGAACTCAAATGCAGGACTTTATACTGACACTAACTAAATGTATTTTACTTGTCTTATTCTGTCAATATTATTTTAATTCAGTTTACCGAAACATTTACTGTTTAATTTTTTTCTAGGCTTTTCTACTTATTAGCTGAGTGACCATGAAAAAGTGGCCAAAATGCTCTGTGCTTCAGTTTCCTCATCTACAAAATGAGGATGACATGGAACTTTCTTAATAATTTACTACGAAGATTAAATACAGATAAAGGGCTGAAAAAAGGTAAAATAGAGCCCTCTTGCTCAAAAGCAACTAACTGTCATCTACACAATGTTTCCCCAAGCCCAGAAAGATGGGAGATTTTGGGAAAAGCCTTTCTAAAATCCAAATTCACGGTACAGTATCTATGTTTCATAATACTTCCCAGATATACCAATCGAGTGGGTAGAAAATGATGTATCAGTTTTGGTTGACACATGTACCAAGGAGTTATGAAGGAATATATACATAAATTCCCTCTATTTAATTCACTCAAGTAGGGTTTCTGATACCACCCTCTATAGATGAAACAATGGTTTTAAAGGGGGAAAATATAAATAAGGTGACATGAAAATGATTAAACCGTACCCAATTACAAAATTCTTTTAAAAAAAGTCCAAATGTTAAGTGGACACAAATTATTTTTAAAACATAGGACATTAAAAAAAATACCAACTTTCTCCTAATTGCATAAGTATATGAACGAAAAACAAATGTTTCCCTATCACATTATTTAAAAGTACCATAAAATGCTAAACTACTTACCCATTGTGGTAAATACATTTTCTCTAAGATATCTGTTAATGTATACCTCCATGCAGGCACTAATATATTTACTGATGTTGTATATTGTTAGTATTTATTTTTTATCCTACTGAGTATCACTTCTTTAAAACATAATAAGCAAATCTACTTAAAAATGCTTTGCAAAGCAACAAATTAGTGTCCCTGTTATATATATATCTCCACTCACCCACTCCTCTGTGAAAGATTGCAAGGGTGCCATCAGCCAGGGCTACTAACACGATTCCCTTCACGTGTCTGTAAACAGGAAAGGGGAGTTCAGAACTCTCCATTTAGGAACACAGAAGGGACCACAGGGTACTCAACTAGTTCAGGGCCTCACAAAGGGCCTATCTGTGATGAGATGAGGAGCTGACATCAGAACATAAAGGAACAAACCGCTTTCTTCATTGTGCATGTCCTGCTATGAAAAAATGTCAGCTGAACTACACCAAAAGCATAAGTGATATCTCAGCTGTTTCACTTTCTGGCCCAAGCTTCTCCTCTCATCACAGACAATCAATACAAACTCCACAGACATGCACCTTGAGTGGAACCAACAGTGTCAGGTCTGTGGGCACAAAGACAAACTGTCTGATTTTATAGTGAACACACAGAAAAGAACTAGTAAATCAATGCCCCAGTCAACATACTTACAAACCATAAAGAATATTCTAAAATAGACATAAATTAATATGTATTGGTTCTTTCCTGCAGTACTAAAGAACTGAGGACTGAATCAAGCAAGTTTTCCTTTCTACTTGGTTTTCTATTATACAGTTTCATTCTCACTTCTTTAGTTCCATAAAAAGCGTTAAAAAACCAAACAAATATGGATACTAATTTAGTCATGAAATATGTATTAGCTTTAAAAGTCTTAAAACCTAGTTTATATTAAAATGCAAAGTTTTAACAAGAAGAATTTCGAAAATAAAACTTACACAATACTGAGAATCGAATCTTTAAGTTTAATGGAATGGAGACATTTCCTCCACTGGGCTACAGATGAATGGACATACAAACTGCAAGAACAAAGTCAACACTGGTAAGGCATAGAGAACATCAAGACACTGCATATATCTAATAATATCGCGAAAGTTCATTCAGAAGGAAAGAACAGTAACATAGAAATTTTAGGAAAAGGTGCTGCTGCTTTTGTACAATGGTCAGAAAAGAAAAGTGACAGAGTAGGCCTAAGGTAGAGAAACAGGCTGCTGAGCAAAGAAAAACATATGAAGACTGAAAAGCAGGAACTAGTGCAATGCACAGTCAGTTTCACACACTTAGTCCTTGGGCAAAGCTCTTTTTGTGAATTACCTTACCTGTCTACTACACTGACCTATAACTTTTGGATGACAGAGTGGCCTACATCAAGAAGTGGCAAACTATGGCCTACAGTCTGCCACCTGTTTTAATCCAGTCTGCAAGCTAAGAATAGTTTTTACATTTTTCAAGGTTGGGGGGAAAAATCAGGGGTATTTTGTGACAGGGGAGATTCATTTGAAATTCAAATTTCAGTGCCCATAATGCTCTACTGGAGCACAGTTACACTAAGTTTCCCAACTCTTCACTTTAGAGTATTGGACTCATACGGAAAAGATGCACTGCAGGTTGAGTAACCCTTATTTGAAATGCTTGGGACCAGAGGCGTTTGGATTTCTAAAGTTTTTTTTTTTTTTTCTTGAGATCGAGTCTCGCTCTGTTGCCCAGGCTAGAGTGCAGTGGCGCGATCTTGACTCACTGCAACCTCTGCCTCCCAGGTTCAAGCAATTCTCCTGCCTCAGCCTCCCAAGTAGCTGGGATCACAGGCACGCGCCACCATACTCAGCTAATTTTTGTATTTTTTAGTAGAGACAGGGTTTCACCATGTTGGCCAGGATGGTCTCCATCTCTTGACCTCATGATCTACCCGCCTCTGCCTCCCAAAGTGCTGGGATTACATGCGTGAGTCACTGCGCCCAGCCTGGATTTCTAAATTTTTTCAGATTTTAGAATGTTTACATTATATACAACAGTTGAGTATTTCTAATTCAAAAATCCAAAATGCTCCAATGAGCATTACTTGTGAGCATAATACCAGTGGTCAAAAAGGTTCAAATTTTGGATTACAGATGCTTGCAACAGTCATCTTGCTTAACCTTTGGAAATGTACAATTTCGTAAAACTCTCCCCATGACTGGAAAGTGAACAAACCATATAATATTAGTTGTCATCATCTGACTTTTCAGATTGTGATTTGTTTTGCCTATCCTCATAAAATATCCACTAAAAGTTGGGATTGGGCCTTCCTGCAGCCAACATGTTGGTTTAATCCCAGTTTTCCTGCCCACATTCTAGCCTACATAAATATTCTCTGTCTCTGTGTTGTTCAGGGTCTTCTATTTCTGGATCACCCCAATTTAAAAATTTTATGTACCTCTTCTTCCAAGAATATTATATAAAGGGAACATTCTGTGACAAAGAAACATATGGCTTACCATTCAGAACCAGTGCAAGTCTAGTTTACGTGGTAGTTGCAACATAACATCAAATTTTGTGTGTGTGTAAAATGCTTTGCATTAATATATACTTTTTGCATTTGTGTTTACCACATTTTACTTTCTTCTGATTTCAAAAGCAAAAGTACAACAATAAACATATTTTAACGTTAAAAGTGTTGGCACCTACCAGCCATTCTGAGCTCCAAGCCACATAGTTGGTAAAAGACTACTCATTTTCTGGGCTTCTTCTCTCACCAGGTCTTGTTCATTTGGTAGTACTGATATTGGATCTTTATATGCATCTGAGTCATTGCTGGAAAGGTGGGGCAAAAGGAGAGAAATCTGAGTATACTTAATTATAGTTTTCAGGGACTGAATACTTCTATACTTAAGTTAGTTTGTTTATTTTATTTACTTTTTAGAGATAGGGTGGCCCTCTGTCACCCAGGCTGGAGTGCAGAGGCACAATAAGGGCTCACTGCAGGCTTGACCTCCCAGGCTCAAGTGATTCTTCCACCTCTGCCTCCTGAAGAACTGGGACCAGAGGTACACACACTATCACACCTGGCTTAAACTTATAGTTAAAAATAAAAAACAAACACCAAAATTCCAGAAAAGCCAAGTCAATGCTTGTATCACATATTTCAACAACTGTACCAGAAATAACAATTTGGAAGCCCAAGAAGCAGATAAGATACTAAGGCATGGTAACTAAATACAGCAGTTACTATTCAGACTATTATTATGGCTGTCTCTTATTTTGGATTTTATCATAGTTTCTTCTCAGGTGAGAGAGAAAGGAGGGATACACACATATAAAAAGGAAGGAGAGGCCAGGTGTGGTGGCTCACTCCTGTAATCCCAGCATGTTGGGAGGCCGACGCGGGAGAATCACAAGGTCAAGAGATCGAGACCATCCTGGCCAACATGGTGAAACCCTATCTCTACTAAAATACAAAAATTAGCTGCGCATGGTGGTGTATGCCTGTAGTTCCAGCTACTCGGGGGGCTGAGGCAGGGAAATGCTTGAACCCGGAAGGTGGAAGTTGCAGTGAGCTGAGATTGTGCCACTGCACTCCAGCCTGGCAATGAAGCAAGACTCTGTCTCAAAAAAAAAAAAAGAAAAGGAAGGAGATATATAAACAATTATCAGAAATAATAAGCTAGAATATGTTTAATATTCTATCACAAAAACTTTCTTTTGAATTGCCAGGGCATATTTAGTAAAAGATACATAATCAGGCTATCAAATTCAAACATGACTTATTCTTAAATTAATACTTCAGGCTGGGCACAGTGGCTCATGCCTATAATCCCAGCACTTTGGGAGGCCGAGGTGGGTGGATTTCTTGAGACCAGGAGTTTGACACCAGCCTGGCCAACATGGTGAAACCTTGTCTCTACTAAAAATACAAAATTTAGCTGGGCGTGGTGGCACACACTTGTAATCCCAGCTACTTGGGAGGCTAAAGCAGGAAAATCACTTGAACCTGGGAGGTGGAAGTTGCAGTGAGCCAAGGTCGTGCCACTGCACTCCAGCCTGGGCTACAGAGTGAGATTCCATCTCAAAAAAAAAAAATTAAATATTACCCCATTTATGCCAGAGGTTGCAAGATTTTTTTGTGAAAAATCAGACCTTGGTGATGACCGTGAGCAGCAGGATATAACTCCCACAAGCTTAGCATTTCAATAACGGACCACTAGGCATAAATGGGTTATTAATTAATCTTGCTTACTTTATACACTAAGAATAAGAATATTAAACTTTAAAAAAGATCTAAAGAGACTCTCGCCTAGAGAGGATCTAGAAAAGGTAGGAAAGAAAATGAAATAATTCACTAAATGGGTCTAGATTAACCAATCCTTTAAAGAAGAGCCTAAAACAAATTGTTTTCTTTTGTTTGCTTGTTTCTTTTCTGACATGGGGGTCTTGCTCTGTTTCCCAGGCTGCAGTGCAGTGGTGAGATCATGACTCAGTGTAGCCTCCAACTCCCAGGGCTCAAGCAATCCTCCCACCATAGCTGAGACCACAGGTGCAAACCACCACGCCCAGCTAATCTTTAAGTTTTTTGTAGAGATGAGGGTCTCACTATGTTGCCCAGGCTGGTCTTGAACTCTTGGGCTCAAGCAATCCTTCTGCCTTGGCCTCCCAAAGTGCTGGGATTATAGGCATGAGCCACTGGAACCAGCTGAACTGTTTTTTAATAAAATATTTGCATGAAAACTAAATTCAAAAAGGTCATTCACGCCCATGTGGGAAACTCAAACAATGGCCAATTCTGCTGATAACTCGAGTGAAAATGAGAGTAGGAACGGGATTAAAATGACAAAGAGTTACCAAAAGAAGACAGCAAGTATTAAAAAAAAAAATCAGTCCAGGGGAGAAAATGAACAGGAAGATTTTTGACTAATATATAGTCATACATCTGGTAAAAACATTTTAGAAAATGATGGACAGCATATATGGTAGTGGTTCCACAAGATACTAGTGCTATATTTTTATAATACCTTGTGTACGTTTACATATACAAATACTTACCATTTTGTTCCAATTATCTACAATATTCAGTACAGTAACATGCTGTACAGGTTTCTAGCCTAGGAGCAACAGGCTATTCCATATCGCCTAGGTGTGTAACAGGCCATATCATCTAGATTCATGTAAATGCACTCTATGATGTTCATACAATGATAAAATCACCTAATGACGCATTTCTCAGAACATATCCCCATTGTTGAGTGATGCATCATTATACTTTTATAGAAAAGATTTTTTTTTTTAAGTTGGAAGGTGTATAGAATAAATGGGGGCAAATATCCACCAAAAATGATGGGGAGGGAATACATGAAGATATCACAAGAATACGTGTCCTTTAGTCCACCACAATGACGCTAATTAGTGGAAATATTTTGGCTGTTTGAGATTATTTTGGTTCCTTTTATTTGTGCCCTTCACCCAGCTTCCTAAGTTGTTGACTGATTATTATACCTTGACTGATACACTGGGGAGAGGTCTTCTGGGATCTGAACTCCCAAAGGATCTGTAAAGACATGCTCTGTGTAGACGCCAGTTTGGGAGATGTCCACGGTGTCTTCAGCTGACCCCGCATTGCCTTCTGTAGCTTCAGTTGCTTCTTCTGCTGTTGGAACATTTTCATCAACCTCACTATTTTCTGCTTCCATTTCTACAAAGTAAATAAAACACTAACTATTCCGAGTCTGGTCTTTTCTCCTCCAATTATTTCCCAACACAAGCCCCTGTTATAGAATTCCACTCCATCTACCCACTCCTTCACACTGTATCATGAAATTGAGAATTCTTGATTCCATTTAATAGTCGTTACAGCATCTTCTTTCAAGTTCTTTCATTCTTGTTACTTTAAGATCTAAATTAAGTCCACAAAGAGGCATCTGAGGGTAGCCTTGGACTCTATAGAGATGTCAGGTAAAGAGAAAGGATATACCTGGTGGTTTTTCCATCACTGGAGAAGCACCATTGGTACTAGGGGAAGTGGCAGCTCCTGTCACACCTTCTGCAGAACAACCAACCACCGTGATGCCTCCTAACAGACTGTCTGTCTCTGCTGAGCTGTTGCTTGTCATGCTTCCACATAAAGATGCTTTGTCTACCTGACCAGATTCTGAAAGATCTTCTCCTGCAGGGTAGTCTGTTTCTCGTGCACCTGAAAAATAAATCTTCTTGTAACAGCAAAGTAAACTTCTATAAATAACATTTTCTTCACTAAAACAATTACAGGTTTGAAATGAGAGTACGCAGGTGAGATGTAAAACTACTTGAATACAGGTAGCCTTAAATTTATGTAATCAAATCTTCACAATATGGGAAGGTAACTTAAAAAATTAAGATAATACTTCTATTAACACAAGTCCAAATAACCATGAAAATGTCAGAAATGAAACTACTGTTCTTTTTTTTTTTTTGAGACAAAGTCTCACTCTGTCACCCAGGCTGGAGTACAGTAGTGCAATCTCAGCTCACTGCAACCTCCGCCTCCTGGGTTTAAGTGATTCTCCTGCCTCAGCCTACTGAGTAGCTGGGACTACCCGTGTGAGCCACCACACCCGGTTAATTTTTGTATTTTTAGTAGAAACAGGTTTCACTATGTTGACCAACCTTGGTTTTGAACTCCTGGCCTCAAGTGATCCACCCACCTCAGCCTCCCAAAGTGCTGGGATTTCAGGCATGAGCCACCGCGCCCACCCAACTTCTGTTCTTAATAAGCTCCTCAGCAGCCACAGAAGGTTAAAAACAAACTAATTATATCTGCGTCAGCCAACAAGAAATTCTATTAAATCATCAAGATTACTACTTGAAGTATAAGCTTCTATTACTGTTAAAAATTAAATACTCCAAGTATATACAGTGACTTAGATATTAGTAAAACATTTAAAAACTAGGCATTTATAATATAATGTAAAATATTTATAATACAAAAATAAATCTCATTTAATTCAGAAAATCGTTTTATTTATATCACACTAAAAACTTTTGTTGCAGCAAATATATATATAAAAATGAAATTTACACTTTAACCATTTAAAAGTGTGTAATTCATTGGCATTAATATTTACAATATTGTATAGTCATCACCACTATTTTTTTTTTTTTTTTTGAGACAGACTTTCACTCTTGTTGCCCAGGTTGGAGTACAATGGCACAGTCTCTGCTCAATGCAACCTCCTTCTCCCAAGTTCAAACAATTCTCCTGCCTCAGCCTCCCAAGTAGCTGGAATTACAGGGGCCTGCCACCATGCCCAGCTAATTTTTAGTAGAGATGGGGTTTTATCAGGTTGACCAGACTGGTCTCGAAATCCTGACCTCAGGTGATCCACTCGCCTTGGCCTTCCAAAGTGTTGGGACTACAGGCGTGAGCCACCATGCCAGCCTTTTTTTTTTTTTCTTTTTTTTAAAGACAGGGTCTTACTCCCGTTGCCCAGGTCAGAGTATAGTGGTGCAATCACAGCCATTGCAGCCTCGGCCTCTCAGCCTCAGCTATCCTCCTGCCTCATTTGTTGATGTTTTGTGGAGACGAGGTCTCGCTATATTGCCCAGATTGGACTTGAACTTCTGGGCTCAAGCAATCGTCCCACCTTAGCCTCTGAAAGTGCTGGGATTATGAGTATGAACCTTCATGCCTGGACTATTTCTAAAGCTTTCCATCATCTCACACAGAAACTCTACCCATTAAACAATAACTCCCCATTTTTATCTCCCTCACTCCAGCCTCTAGTAACCTCTAACGAGTTTCTGTCTCTATGAATTTGTCTATTCTAGGTATCTTATGTAAGTGGAATCATACGATATTCATCCTTTCGTGTCTGGCTTATTTCTTTTGGCATAGCATTTCCAAGGTTCTTCTGTGTTACAGCATGTGTGAGAACTTCTACCTATAGTATAACATACTGTACTCTTAAAAATTTATTAAGAGGACTGGGCATCCCAGTACTTTGGAAGGCCAAGGCAGGCAGATCATTTGAGCCCAGGACTTCAAGACCAGCCTGGGCAACATGATGAAAATCTGTCTACAAAATGTATAAAAAACTTAGTCAGGTGTGGTGGTATGCGCCTGTGGTCCCAGCTACTCAGGAGGCTGAGCTGGGAGAATCACCTGAGCCCAGGAGGTCATGCCTGCAATGAGCTCTGACTACACCACTGTACTCCAGCCTGGGCAACAGAGTGAGACTCTGTCTAAAAGAAAAAAGGTGGGGGCGGGGGGGGGGGGTAGATCTCATATTAAGCGTTCTTACCACAACAAAAAAAAATAAAACATAAAAAAGAACTTCATTCCTTTTTGTGGCTTAATAATATTCCAGTGTATGGATATATCAGATATACCTCTTTAAACTAATGTTTTAACATCACATAATGTTTAATCCAAAACTTTAGAAGGCCTTTCCTTATTAATTAATCCAAATAGTCCTCTGGCTCCCAGTTATCTTCTCATATTACCATTGTTTTATTTTATTCACAGTATTTTTCACTACCTAAAAATACCTCCTTTATTCAATGATTTCCAGTTTGTTTTTTAATCTTCCCCAACTGGAACACAGGCTTTATGACAGCAAGGTACAGAACTACATCTTCAGCTATCACATCAGTGCCCAGCAGGTAGATGTTGTGAATGGAGGGGAGGGCAGAGAAACTCATGACTCACTCTTACCCGGCACACTTGCAATGCATAGAACATGAGAGTTGCAAACAGTGAAACTGTCTAGGATGTTGCCAGGTTGAACAGCATCAATAATAAGAACTTTTGTAGCTGAATGAGTGCTGGTACAGATCCAGACTAAACTGGATAATTCTTCTTGATTTTTTAACTCCTTCTGCTGTTCCTGTATAGACAAGGATGGAAAATGTTTAAAATGATATGTATGTGCAAATATTCATAAGGTAGTGCTGTTACAGTAAAAGGCAATACTATTTCAAATTTATTTTCAGATTATTTGAAAGGGTAAAAATACAACCACTGATATGGTTTGGCTGTGTCCCCACCCAAATCTCAACTTGAATTGTATCTCTGAGAATTCCCATGTGTTGTGACAAGGACCCAGGCGGTGGTAATTGAATCACGGGAGCTGGTCTTTCCCATGATATTCTTGTGATCGTGAATAAGTCTCATGAGATCTCATGAGTTTATCAGGGGTTTTTTGCTTTTGCTGCTTCTTCATTTTCTCTTGCTGCCATCACATAGGAAGTGCCTTTCACCTCCTGCCATGATTCTGAGGCCTCCTCAGCCATGTGGAATTGTAAATCCAATTAAACCTCTTTTTCCTTCCCACTCTTGGGTATGTCTTTATCAGCAGTGTGAATACGGACTAAAACAACCACCTATCAATATTAATTAGCAGATGAAAAACTAGCAGTTAGGCAGGCACAGTGGCTTCCGTCTGTAATCCCAGCACTTTGAGAGGCTGAGGTGGGAGGATTCCTTGAGGCCAGGAGTTTCAGACTAGCCTGGTCAACAAAGTGAAACCCTCATCTCTACAAAAAATAAAATAATTAGCCAGGTGTGGTGGTGTGGGTGTATAGTCCCAGCTACTCGGGTGGCTAAGGTGGATGGATCACTTGAGCCCAGGAGGTTAAGACTGCAGTGAGCCATGATCATGCCACTGCACTCCAGCCTGTGTGACAGAGTGAAACTCTGTCTCTAAACAGCAACAAAAAAAACTAACAGGTAAAGCAGAACAATGATAAACTCTTCTATTGTCTTGATCACTGAAGTGATTACACAGGGGTATAGATTTGTCACAACTCTGACCTATATCCATTTCAAGTGCACACTTTATTGCATGTAAATTATACCTCAATAAAATTGATTAAAAGAGTGCTGAGGGACAGTAAGCCAGGGCGTAATAATCCCAGTTAGAAACTGGACCCAGAGGTGACTTTTGGATGAAAGCATTAAACAAATAGTCTCATAAACCAGGTCAAATGTTAGTACATACACTTACCTTCAGTTCCTGATCTAACTTATCTAAACTACTCTGAGAGGCACTTCGCTGTTCACTGCCTTCTGTATCCAAACCAGCAACATCCTTGTAAAATACACTTGCTCCAACAACAGAACCACCATCTCTGGTCTTCCCACCAGATAAATTGACTCCAACAGCACACCACAGCTTCTCAGGTGAAAAAGAAAAGAATATTAAGTCTAGATGTGTTTAGAATTTTTCATCTTTTCTTAAAATAACTGATATTGTAAATACAGGTCTTTAATACCGTCTAAAATTATAAAATGAACAATACCACCATAGAAGTAACACTTATACTTTTTTGGTTTTAGAAAAAAAAAAAAAAACACTACCCAGAGTTTAGGAAATATCTCCTTTAACTTCACAATGAACTTACCTTCATTGATGTATCTTTTTCATCTAGAGGTCTGAGATAGACAGGCACAGGTAAATTTTTCATCTTATTTTCACCTTGACCATTGGTTACCTAATAATGGTGGAGGGAGGAGTGAAAAAGGCACATTAGTAAACCTTATCAAAAGTGACTTTCTTACAAATCCACTGAAACATGGGCAAGCACTGATGTTATTTATTCCTTGAAATCAAGTTCAAGTTGATTTTGCTTCTTTCTTTCTTCCCTTTTTTTGGGGCCGGGTGGGGGGGGTTGCGGAGGGACAGGGTTGCTTTACTGCCCAGACTGGAGTGCTTTACTGCCCAGGCTGGAGTACAGTGGCTCGATCACGGCTCACTGCAGCCTCAACCTGCTGGGCTTAAGTGGTCCACTCCCACCTCAGCCTCCCAGGTAGCTGGGATGACAGGAAAGTGCCACCACACCCAGCTAATTTTTTATATTTTTTTGTGGAGGCAAGGTCATGCTATGTTGCACAGGCTGGTCTTGAATTCCCTGAGCTCAAGCCATTCTCCTACCTTGGCCTCCCAAAGTGTTAGGAGTACAGACATGAGCAACTGCATCAGCCAATTTTGCTGTTCTCATTCAAAAACCAGAAAAATCAAGTTAAGCAATTCGATAAACAGGATACAATGGGAGCTCAAAAAGCAGCTCTAATTAACACATATGTGCCCATACACACACGCATACATGTTTGTACACAAACATGTGAGTCCTTTGGGGGTAGGAATTATGGAGTAGACAGCTAGAAGACTTGAACTTAATTTTAAATGAACAGTTTGAAAAGTTCCATGTCAACGATTTTTTAAACAATGATGATGGTTTTTTAAAAAATGAAATCTTCAAATATTAAACCAGAATTGCTCTGGTTAGAGCAGAGTGGATACCGCAAACTCCATGCACTTAGCCACCCTTTATTGACTCCTCCTCTCCTAACAGACTCAGAGCATTTCATTTGAGTTCAACAGCTATAGAAAACGGCCTGAAAACCACCACCCTCCAAGCTTAAATGTGTGCCCAGTCCATGAGGCTGAGATGAGCAGAACGGGGATGTGTATGGTGAATCCTTCATGCCCAGGCACACTCATCTCACCCTGTTATTTCCTGCTGGATCCTCTTACCACACACACATATTACCTGCTTGTACTTCTGAGGCAGACTCCAGCCAAATGCCTGCACTCTACCATCTTCCTTCTGAACATGTGCTTTTACCTGACGATACTGCTCTCTTTTTTGTTCTCTGCGTGAGGCTAAACTAGCTTCAGTTCTAAAAGGAAAAAAGATTTCCCTTTTTAATTAAGTGAATACAACAACAGTTTTCTCTCTCCTCTGTCACTAAAACAGCAAAAACAAAAAGGATGATTTCAAATTAGTTTATTCCAACTATCACAGCTCCTTAAAAAGTGTTATACTAGGCTGGGTATGGTGACTCATGTCTGTAATCCCAGCACTTTGGCAGACAGAGGTGGGTGGATCACCTGAGGTCAGGAGTTTGAGACCAGCCTGGCCAACACGGTGAAACTCAGTCTCTACTAAAAATAGAAAAATTAGCTCAGCATGGTGGCACACACTTGTAATCCCAGCTACTCAGGAGGCTGAAGCAGGAGAATTGCTTGAATCTGGGTGGTGGAGGTTGGCAGTGAGCCAAGATCGAGCCATTGCACTCCAGACTGAGTGACACGAGCAAAACTCCGTCTCAAAAAAAAAANAAAAAAAAAAAAAAAAAAAAAAGGGTATACTAAAGCTGGTCTTTTTAAGTTTGTGCAGTGAATTCAGTGCCCAAGCTTTAAAAGGTTAGCAAGCAGCTTTGTTATATTAAATTGAATAATCAGCCACCAAATTTCTAGCCAGTTTCAGATGCTGGCCATATGAAAGGGGAAAATTCTTAAGTATTTTTGGCTTTTTTTTGTTGTTGTTCATTCAACAAGTATTTACTGAGAATATACTAATGCTAGAAAAAGTGTTAGAAGTGATTTAAAAATTAAGTAAATCAATATCTGCTTAGGAAGACTAATATAGGTTAGATTTCAGATCTCATTAACTTGTTTCAGAAGATAAAAATGCAAACTGACTTGGTAAACTTTGGAGTTATAAGGTAAAATATCATTAAAAGGATTCTGAAAATAATTTGCCATTCTGAAAATAATTTGCCATTCTTTCGGCCATTAAAATTTTCGTAAGATGACTTACTATGTATATACACCACAGTTAACAAATCTACCTATATGTCAGATACTTTACAGATAATTGTATAATTGGATCCAAACACTTTTGAGATAGGTTATCAAATTAATTTTACAGACAAAGAAACTGGGGGCTGATAGGTTAATTTGCCCAACTGTTTGTACCTAATGAGTAGTAAAGTCAGGATAAAAAACCAGGTCCTTTGTCACCAACAGAAATGTTCAAACATTTAGGATAAAGTCTCATTTATCTCTAAACGCCTTTAACATGTCTATTAATAAGTATCTATCAATGTTATCATACCAGCCAAAATGAGGCATTTAAAAAAATTCTTCTTTTATAAAAACTGAAATGCAATTTTCATAAAAACCGTTAACTACAAGTAATTTACTTGAAGGCAGCCAAGTTACAGAAATGATTTTTTATAGATTTATCTGAATCCTTATAGCTAATAAGAGGCCAAGAATATTCTGAACTATTAACTTATTTAGAGCATAACCATTAATCTGGAAAATACTTACTCTTCACTAAGGAAATCAAAGGCTTTGGACTTATCTCCAGGGAGCTGAGATAAGGTGCTGCTTCTTTTCTTGACAGAAGGAGTAACATGAGAGGTGGGTGCATTGTACTTCAGATTAACAGGTGGTTCAGGCTTCTTAGTTGTATTACTTGAGGAGCTGAAAAGTCGGCTGAAACTAAAAGAAGAAAATGTGTCTGTGTGTCACATGTAGTGTGAGGAACATCCTTGACTTTCCACGAACTTTTATGCTGAGAAAATTTCAGAGCACTTTTACAAAGCAATGAGTTAGAAATTGGCAAAAAAAAAAGTTTTTGTAGTCACACGATGCAGCCTTAGCAGTAACTCATGGCCAAACTCAGACATTCAGGGAAGAGAAACTATTGCTTAGAATTGCAGTACCTGTTCCTTAACTAGCAATTTCCATAATGAAAACAAGAAGCTCTTAAGTAGAGGAAACATTTCCTACTGAATAAATAATATAAATTAGTTTTTTTGCTAGCTCCTTCTTGGTGCAAGGTAAGAATGATTGTTAAACAGCAAGGTTATGGCTTTGTGATGTGAACAGAAGCTTAGTATGCCAGTTCTAAAAATAGCTTATTATAATCAAGTACTAGAACACATATTATCATGTTAACACACATCTTATACATTTTCTGATTAAGCTCAATTTAAATAACTACTTTCAGGTCATCTTTTTAAAAAATTGACACTTCCATTAAACAGCAGATTCACCAAAAAAGGGTAAGTTTTAATCACAGTAAACACATAGTACTTCTGGCACAAACATACTTCAAGCCCAATACATACACAATACTACTCAAACCCGACAAGCACTCAATTTCTTATCTTCACTTTGTCAAGTTTCTTACAATCACAAAACCAGCCAATCAGAAACTTACTTAATGGGGATCCAGGTCATTATCAAGTCTATGAATAATTCCCCATTATTTTAATTTGGCAGAGGATTGCAACAAATGCATAACCAACATGATGCAGCTTACGATACCATATTTTTTGTCCCTGAGAACAGCCTTACCGAGTTGGCACACTATATATTAAAATAAAAAAAAAGTTCAGTTTTGCTACTTAACCCTTACCTGTAGTTTAAAAAAAAATGAAGGAAAGAAAATTGACATAAAATCATTCTTGGAAATAAATTTTGATTGTAATTATCTTGTTTCAAAGTGCTCTAAATCTTTGTTTTTCAATACTTACAACTGCCAAATGCTTGATCTTTTTTTTTCCTGCATGGCTGGATTTTCTCGTGATGCCCTACATTCAAAAAGAAAAGAAAAATATGTTATCAGTGAGGTATCCTACCTTTCTTTCTGAAGAACGAGAGATCCAAGAAGTTCATGGGATACACAGAGGAGAGTCAACAATTAAATTCAATAAACACTGTAGTTACCTTGATCTACCATGTGTCAGTCAATCTGCTAAAAGTAATTCTACGAAGAGAAATAAAATAACATCCCTCCCTCAAAGAGCTTAATTTACCAAGAGAGGATTGTAATAACTGTTAGACAAATAACCAACATGCCTGAATAATATTTAAAAATTTTTATTGAAAAGATACCCTTTCCTTTTTATTAAAATATTGCCTTGTAAATTCCCACCTTTACAGAAAAGTCTCTATCGTCTGTACTCACAGCTGTCACAAAATAGCTTGAAACTTTAGTATTCTGAGGGACCATTTTTCACAAGACTAAAACTTTTCCGTCACCGAAAAGATGACCTCAGCAGAGAAGAGGATAAACTGGATTGACAGGTAATTCAACACAATTTCAGAAAATAAGATATTCCAATTTGATTAATAAGGTGGTAGGGATTCTGACATCATAATTAGAGCTCCCCTTTCACTACTTTTTTGTTAAGAACTAAATTTAAAACATTCTTTAATTCAGTGAAGAAGCTAAAAGTAAGCTACTATTTCCTTCAACTTGTTGACTACCACTTGGCTGCTAGAGTTAAAAACAGCAATGAAAAGTGAAGTCTGGCCAGGCACAGTGGCTCATGTCTGTAATCCCAGCACTTTGGGAGGCCGAGGTGGGCAGCTCACTTCAGGTCAGGAGTTCATGGCCAGCCTGGCCAACATGATGAAACCCTGTCTCTACTAAAAATACAAAAATTAGCTGGGCATGGTAGCGCACACCTGTAAAACCAGCTACTAGAGAAACTGAGGCAGGAGAATTGCTTGAACTCAGTGGGTGGAGGTTGCAGTGAGCTGAGATCACGCCACTGCACTCCAGCCTGGGCAACAGAGCAAGACTCCATCTCAATAAATAAATAAATAGAAAAGTGAAGTCCACTTTCAGTTTTTTCAATATTTACTTATTATTTATTTGATATCCACTAAACACTGCAGTTAAGAACACACTTCTTAGTGGGTTAGTTTCCTTGTCCAATAAATATAGATTGGAATACTCATCCTCCTTACGGGCAGTTATAAGCAATCACAATTATAGCCGATTGTAAAATAATATGTTACACAAAACACTTCATTTCACTACGACATTGGTAAAGGGTATATAAACTGTGAAATAAATGATGTAATCAAAAGGAAGTAAAAGTTGGCAATTAGAGAATATGTTCATAAACTTAAAAACAATATGTCAATGTATACTATTATTGGTAAATCTGATAAGACAATCCAAGCTCAAAAATATGGGTAAATTAGGGGGCAAATCTACCGCCTCATTACAAACTCATTACAAACTGTTCAGGGGCTCTTTCTAAATTTAAGAAACACTATTACTGAGACTATGACCATTAGATGGCAGCATTAGGGGAGATTTAAGATCCAACTGACTGAAAGATACCAATGGAAAGGTGTGCTTTGCACAAACAGTTAGAAAAGCGGGAAAGAAATCAAGCAAGAGTATTTCACAGAAAGACCCTGAGTCAAAATAATTTATTTTTCTGTGTTGCATATGAAATTTTGATCTTTTCCTGACATTACCAGGAAAGTAGTATCGATTTCTATACTCGAAAAATGCCCATCATTCCTAAGTAATAATAATTGCCTTTTAGAGGTCATGGTAAGTAACATCCTTCAAGATCCCTTGCTAGCCCAAAAAGCACCTCCTTTGATCACATTCTGTTACTAATTCTGAGTGTTACTTTAGAAAGTCTCTCCCAGTAAACAGAGAAAGGGGTTAGATCTCACAGGGCAGGACTTCAGTTCCAAATGAAGGAATATTTGAACCTACAAAATAATAGCAGGAAAATAATGAAGTTCTTATACAAACCGAATCATCTCTGTCCATCGAACAGCTTCCTGAAGCTCCATCAATCTCTCTTTATACTGGTTTCGCTCCATGAGAACACGTGCCATTTCTACCCTAGTAAACCGTTTCCTCTGGGCTGTGGGAATATCGCTCTATAATGACAAGAAAATGAGCTTATATATGTCTTGGTGTTCAACTCAGAGTTATGCAAAATCTTTACATTTTAAAACATTCCTTAATTTATAATCTAATAGATCATTTAAAGAAAAATGCCTTTATATAAACAAAATCAACAGGAAGATTTATTTTTTAAATGACTTTTTAAAATACAGTTTTTGAGACAGGGTCTTAATTCTGTTGCCCACTCTGGAGGGCAGTGGTGAAATCATAGCTAACTGCAGCTTCCAACTTCTAGACTCAAGCAATCCTCCCAACTCAAGTCTCCTGAGTAGCTTGGACTACAGGTACACACCAACATGCCCATAACTGCTTGAGGCCAAGAGTTCAAGACCAGCCTAGACAGCATAGTGAGACCCTGGCTCTACAAAAAATAAAATTCAATTAATAGCCAGGTAGGGTGGCATGCATGTGCAGTCCCAGCTACTTGGGAGGCTGAGGTAGGAGAATCACCTGAGCCCAGGAGTTCAAGGCTGTAGTGAGCTATGAGTGTCACTGTACTCTAGCCTCGGTGACAGAGTGAGACTTCATCTCTAAAAAAAATAGTAATACTAATAAAATAAAATAAAATATAGTGCAGATTTTAAACTAAAACCAAAATTGTTATCTACATAGATTTAATATGCTATTGTAAGTTTCACCTAAAAATGTTGCTCCAACATTATTTTAATTCAGGCTCTGTAACAATTGTCATTCAGAAAATAGTTATAAGTTAGGTCTAAAAGAAGTTCATTTATCTCAAATTACAAAACCACATACTATCTGAGGCCAGCATCAAGGGTAAACTTACTGCCTAGGTAAGTTACCAAGGTACCCAACTATAAGAGCCGCTAAAATACCAACCTAAGTGCAACAATCATATTAACCAGAATTACTCTTAGAGAGAATAAAGTATGTGAATATAGAGTAAGCATAAAGGTAAGACCTCAAAGGAGCATGGCTCAAGTCAACGTCCTATAGGGCTTTCATTATCCACATTTTGGATCAAAGCTGAAAGGTTTGGGACAGTAAGAAAGAGGCTAAGCTTAGCCCTTAGCAGTCCTCCTTTGTTGTTCTGTTACAGAACTTGAGCCTCTCAATAAAAGTTAAACAACAAATGATAAAGATCTTGAGTTTGCAACACAGCAAGCCCACTACTAGGTATGTACTCTGGAAAAGCTACTGCTCCTGCCCACCTGGAGACTTGTACTGTAATGTTTGTAACAACAGCATTGTAAAAAGCTGAGACAAACTAAATATTCCTTCACAGGAAAATATGTACATAAATTGTAGACTATTCATTCAATGAGGTATCATAAAGTAGTGAACATGAATGATAACTACAGCACTATACTACAACACAGATGAATCTCAAAAACATGCCACTGAGGAAAAGCAGCACGTTGCCAAGACTAAATATAGTATGAAATACAAAAACAGTAAAAACTAAGCCATATAAACATATATAGTATGATAAAATTACTTTTTTTAAGTTAAACAAATGATAAATATAGAATAGTAGTTTAAAAAAAAAATAGAATAGTAGTTTTCTCTGCAGGGGAGGAACACAGAATAGTTCAATGTTGAATAATGTTCTAATTATCAGATTAGGTGGTAAGTTCACAATGTTAATCTATTATGATTCACAACCTGCATATCTTACATGTTTTTGTGTGTATCATTAAATAAGATATTAAAAAACAGAGATTAAAGGGGCACCAAATGATCATTCTGTCCAAAACAACCATGTATCTTAAGTCTGACCTTTGACCTACAAACATCTGTTACAAGAATGATTATGAGGCTGGACTTCGTGGCTCACACCTATAATCCCAGTACTGTAGGAAGCTGACAGGGGTTGGATTACCTGAAGCCAGGAGTTACAGACCAGCCTGGCCAACATGGCAAAACCCCGTCTCTACCAAAAATACAAAAAATTAACCAAATTAGACTTGTAGTCCCAGCTCCTCAGGAGGCTGAGGCACAAGAATGGCTGGAACCCGGGAGGTGAGGGTTATAGTGAGCAAAGATCGTGCCACTGAACTCCAGCCTGGACGACAGACTGAGACTCCATCTCCAAAAAAAAAAAAGATTAGGAGTATGCTAAAGATATTAGCAAGAAGCTCATATTTATTATTTTGTACTTACGTATGTTCACAACAATATGAACTAATTGGCTAGTACTAAAATTCTACACTTCATCTTTTTATTTAATACTATTAAATAATTTTTATTATTAAGCTTTCATATTTTTAAATCAAAATTTGAAACAAAACAGCAACAACAACCAAAAACCCCAAACTGTCCTCGTTGGTCCTTAAACTTGAACATGCAAATACAGGTAAGAGCACAGAGCCACGGAGGGAAAATGAGCACAACGCATGGAGCTAGAAAGTTCAGCCATCTGGATACCATGTAGAAGCATGAGCTATCCTATTCATGACCATAAACATATGTCCTGACTGTTAAAAATCTTTATAGTATTATATCCAAAGCTTACTTAGAAAGATCTTCCTGAGATACCAAACACAGTAAGGTAAGAAAAGAAGTCCAAAACTGTAAACCTACATCATCGTCATCTTTTGCTTTTTGCCTTGCATCTTCAGCTTCCGCCCGAGCTCTAGTGGGGGAAAAAAACCAAACGTGTTATTTGAATTGAGCTCATCTTTTCAAAAAAAAAAAAGAAAAAGAGAGTAGGTCAACAATTTTAACTACCGCTAAAGGATTATTTTTCTTTTCCCAAACACGGTATTTAGCCACCTTCATTTGGTGGAGTGTCGGCATATCATAGCATTGTTTTCAAAAATAAACAGTTATTAAAGAAAGTGTGATACAAAACTTTCCTTATTGTCAAAACAAAGATGTTTGAACAGTCTCTAACTCTTTTTACATCATCATAGACATAAAAAATGACAATATTTAGATGACAGGCTAGTAACGGGCAGGGCCTGCTCACAGACAATGGGCTGGGGTGCTTTGCCCTCTCCCAGGCAGTTCTTGGCCTTCCAGCCTTGAGTGGAGAGAAGGTCTCAGTCTCAGGGTTACATGTGTAACCCTTTGGGGCATAACTGGCCAAGAGTTTGGTTTAGAACAACATGGTTAAAACTTACTTCCTAAGCTCTTCCTCCAATTCTTTGTTCTTTTCCTCTAGCTTCAGTTTGGCTTGTTTCACAGCCTCCAATTCCCCTTGCAGCACATCTTTCTCACAGGTCAGTTCATCCACTTTTGCTATCAAATCATTCTTCACTATGTTCAAAGCATTTCTAAGAAACACGCATTTCAAGAGCATCATTACAAGTAAATATTCTTTCCATTTTTCAGCTATTCCTTTGTAGACTAAAATAACTGTACAACCATAAAGATGAATAATTTAATACTTCAAGACATTCTACCTGATATTGCTTGTAGATAAATGCAAAAAGAACACAAAGAAACAGTCTAAGGTTTTACTCTTCTCATTTATCAAATGAATAAAACAAGACAGACCATCAATTACTAAACACTGGGAAGATTAAATTTTAAAAATAGCATTTATAAGGTTACTATTGTTATAACTCCTGAGAATATATTACCCAATCAATAAAGTAAAATTATTCACTGATGTTACTTTTAATAAATAATGAGAAAACAGTAAAAATTGGAAAGTCAAGACAGTCTAAGCTGAAGAAAAAAATCTGAGATCTGATTTCTTTGAGTATAGTGTGCATAGGACCTTATTATAACCGCATTCTGTCTTGGATATACACAGATGTTTCAAAGTTGCTCTGACACAGCAAACTGACAAAGGAACCCAGTTTGCTTTTCCACATGACTGGGGTTCTGTCCTCTAAATGTGCCTGAGGGCTCACGACTCCACAAATTGTACGCAAGAATGTACAGCTATCAAAGACAGCTCTAAAGAGGAAGGCTGAGTATAGATCAAAACATCTGTGTGGAAATAAAAGAAACCCCAAGAGAAGAGATAAGAAAATACACAAATGTCAGGGAGGGAGCAAAAAAAGTGTAAAACAAGGACAGATCCAGAAGATTAAGAAAAAGGCATGGATACTTATAGAGTGAAAAGAAGATGAAAATGTTTCTACAAAAAAAACAAAGCAAGGAAATATATCCATCAGGGCAATGCAGGTGGGGGGGGAGAGAGTGTGTGTGTGTGTGTGTGTGTGTGTGTGTGTGTGTGTGTGTGTACACACTCAGGAGGGGAACAAGATGGGACAGGAAGATTCAGGGCAATGTAGGTCCCAACATTACATGTGTGTGTGTGTGTGCGTGTGTGTACATCTGTGTGTGTACACTTAGAGGAAGGGAATGAGATGGGACAGGGAGATTCCATTAGTATTATGTTAAAATGATGAAGTGTCATTGACTTGGACAAGAAGAAAATTCTTTATCTTCTGTTGCTAAAATTGCACATAAACTTACTTGGTTTCCAACAGTTGTGTATTTTCCAATATAAGATTCTCAACTTCCCGACCCATTCCTATCAAAAGAAAAAAGATAAATACTTTAAAAATAAATGCATAAATAATTATATACATTTAAAACATAAGCTATAGTCACAAGTTTTATCTTAGAAATTTTATCTGTCCTTTATTAATCTTATTTTGTCTATAATTTCAATTGATGTATCTACTTTAATAGATTATAAAATTATAAATAATTATTCATTACAAACAAGGCTAAAGATTTTGTTGGCCAATTTCTTTTTTAAATCTGGTCGGCTTGCTAGAAACTGTGGCCAATTTTTAATATGTTAGTCTATTATTTCATTTCTCAGATAATATTTCAAAAGGATCAAGACTTTTCTACCAAATATTCTAACATTCCAACATTACTTAGGGGAAAAAACAAAAGCATTAATATGAATTGAAATTGTTTCTAAATCACAGCTGATCTTGTAGGCTTTTGCCTAAAACTTAGACCTTATTAATAGAGAACAGGCAGAAACAAGGCCAAAGAAAGACAGAACCCCAAGGCAGGTGAAACCTTACCAAAGAAATTATGGTCTTAAAGCCCATGCATTCCATGTAAAGCAAAAACAAAGAACAAGAAATGTTTTACATAAGAAACAGCATGAAAACAGATTATTAATCTATAAAGTTTTATACATGATACGAAAAACATCTGGAATCACAATGTTATGATTTAATGCATAATGATGTGCAAAAGACAGAAATAAAGATGATTTCCTTCGTTCATGAGGATGCTCTCTGGTATACCTAAAAAATGATTTACCGATTATTTCTCACAAAAAAATTGAATATAGTTAGATTGAAAATCTTCAATCAATAATACAAACTTTCCTTCAAAGTGCCACCTATGAAATAATAATATTCAGTTATCATTTGAGTGGCTGTCTTTGATCATGTTTGCCATTTTAATGACTAGTGTAAGATAGGCATGTAGAGCATCTAATCCAAGATCCAATGGAGTGGTCTTTACGGAGAAGAAAGTTATTAATTTGCTTCTCACAAGAAACTGAAAAAATGAAATAACACACTAGGGAATATCACTCAAAAAACAGAAAATCAAAGCAAAACAAAACAAAGAAACCCACCGCTCACTCATCTCAAGGAATTGCAAGCTAATAATATTGGAAAATCACATACGATGGAAGAAGTAATATTCATAACCCAAGTAAACAGAAAAGAAATCTTTCTAAAGAAAACCACGTAAGACAAAGGAGTTAACATGTCCCTTTATTTTAAAAAAAGGCAATTTTCCAAATGATTTAAATATTACTTAAAACAAATACAGCCAACCTAGGAATGCTACAAATTCTGTGCACATGGACTCATACTTTGTCTATATTCTAATTTTCTCAAAGATCAGGGTACTTACACTAGGAAGAATTAAATATCAGAAATAGTAGCTTACTTAATCATCTACCTATGTATTATCCACACACTGAAACCAAACCAAACAAAACAAAAATCACAAAAAAGTTTCCAAATTCTAACTCCAAAATGATCTTTGGCAACATATTTGCTTCAAATACTACCTTTTTTTTCCTTTGTAGATACAATGGCTGGAATGTTAACTTTTTAATAAAGCTACACAGACAGAAGAAATAAGAGTCTAGACTGGTTGAAAAAGTTTATATGATAACTATGTTTGCTATAAACTCTCAAGCACTTAGGTAAGCGTGAAAGCTGAAAATATATGAAAGGCAAAAAAACAGCTGTGCAGAAAAAAATGATGAGAAAGCATTAGATGAGAACAGCAGCCAAGAACACCTAGCTTAAAGGCAGTAATATTAAAATATTCAAAAACATACACACCAGAATATTCCCCTAGGTAAGCAGCCCAAGAGAAAAATGAATGAGAATCTCAATTAGATTGTTTTCAGAAAGCAAGAACTAAACTCATTTATTTTAAAATGAGAGAGGAAACAAAGAAATTGACAAGATGTAGAGAAATCATTAACTAAACACAATGAAGTCTAAATATTTATAAAAAGGAAAAAAATCAAAATGTGTACTACAGGAAAAACAAACCCTATAATATAGTTTCTAAAGTTTACATTAGCCAGGAAGCCAGTAGACAAGACAGATATTCTGTAAACTGGAGGGTATGCAGGACATTTGTGAAAAGATACAAAGTCCTCAGTGGGTTTAGAAAATTCGCTGTATGATCCATATATTATTACATGGCTTGCACGTCTTCAGGTGCATGTATATACTGCTACTGTGTCCTCGCCAAAATGTGACTCAGTCTGTTACACTGTAATATGTTGTGAATTTCCTTGTACTGTACTTTTATTGTTAGTCTTCTTGCATCAATGATACAATAGCAACAAGATTTTAAATTACTGTTAAAAGATTAACGGGCAACGTACAGAATTTACTCTTAAGGGAAAACACTACAAAAAGTCACAAGGATACCAAATGGGAACACATGATGGTACCTCTGAGTCTGTATGAGACCATGATGAAGTAGAAATAAAGCCTTTCCAAGATGGCCAAAAAATAAATAATTAAATAAAGTTCACATTAAATGTACACATTCCCAACTAAGAGTTATCGTAAAATGTGGTTTATAAACTAAATATGTAACCAGTAGGATTATCTAAAATTTCATTTTGAAATGATCAATAAAAACTCTTTATTAGAAAAATATAAAGTGGCCTCATTTCTATTCAAGACTCTTTTTTTGTCTTTTCTTTTTCTCAAGACTTGCCTTCCAGTAACATCTATTCAAGACTTAAATGAAGCACAAACTTAGGTCTAATACATTTGGAAATTTTACTTATTAAAAAACAAGCAAAAAAAAACCTGTCTGGCAGTTTTTTAAATCATAGAAGTTTCATTTGGGTTTTAACACTGATAATCAAGCTAGGTCCATAGATGGGTTTCAGAATTATATGGTAATCCCTTGAGAAGATGCATAATTTTATGTAGTTATATATCTGTATTTTCACAAAGGTACATTGCTCTCTTACAAATTCCCCTGTAAAGAATTTTTAATCTCAAAAGGAGAAGAATCACAGATTTTGACGTGAAACAAACCCCATCAGAACTACTTAGCAAGCCCATTCACTTAGTTGCTAAGTGCCAAAGATGCAAGAGCAAGCAAAGACACGGTTGTCTCAGCCACACTGAGCTTATAGTCTGTCCAGGGAGACAGGTACCCAAAAAATGACAGTAAGTATGAAGAGCTGTATAATAAAATGCAGTGCCATGGGAATACATGTCAAGGACAACTAAGCTTTAATTAGGGGATCAAAGCAGATTTCCTGGAGGATTTATCACTTAAGGCAAGAAAAAATATATATACATATGTACATTTTTACACACACACATTTAGGAGAGGGAACAAACAAACCTTGGTGATTGGCTGTGAGGGAAAAGTGAGAGGTGCAGGATGGGGAGCTATTCATTAACTGAGACAGTGGCTGTTGGCCCAAGAGCAGCCTTGGGGGACAGAAAAATAAAGATGACAAACTGAGCTTGACGCATGTTAAACGTAAAGCCCTACAAGTCATCTTAGCTTAGGGGTCTAGTATGCAGTTAGGAAATAATAGTCTAGGGCTTTAGAAAAAGATCTGGGATGCGGATTAAAACTTGGGACATGAAAACTGAGAAACAAGAACAAATATGATTTCTCAAACAAAGTATCAGGCCTAGAACAGGAACACTGATACCTGAAAGATAAGCAAAGGAAGCAGATCCTGCTAAGAAGACTGAAAAGGTAGAGTCAGAGACAGGAAAGGACACAGGCAAGTTGCTATCACAGAAATCCAGCAAAGAGAGTTTTAAATAAGAAAGCTGAGGGATGAGATACCAATCAGGATAAAGGAAAAATTGTTATTTCTTTTAAATTATTAAAATCAGAAAAAGGCTGTGCTGGCGTGATGGTGCATGCCTGTAGTCCCAGCTACTTGAGAGGCTATAGGCAAAAGGGTTCCTTGAGCCTAGGAGTTCCAGGACAGCCTACACAATGTAGTGAGACCTTGCCTCAGAAAAAAGGGTAATCTAAGTACTGAGTCCATATATAATGATTAAAATTTGCTAAATGCAATGTCATAATCTTGGTTCACTGCAACCTCCACCTCCCGTGTTCAAGCAATTCTCCTGCCTCACCTTCCCGAGAAGCTGGGATTACAGACACCCACCTAATTTTTGTAGTTTTAGTAGAGATGAGGTTTCACCATGTTGGCCAGGCTGGTTTCAAACTCCTGAACTCGTGATTCGCCTGCCTCGGCCTCCCAAAGTGCTGGGTTTACAGGTGTGAGCCACCACGCCCGATAGGATATTATTTTTAATCGATTTAAAAGACCATAGTTATTTCTAAGTACTATGTGGCTTCTAAATACTTTAAAAGAAAAGAAAACTTTGGGGCCACCAACCTTAAAAGTTATATTACTCACTACTGCATTATGAGTTAACACAGTGTACAAATTATATTCAAATGTACTTCATTCTTAATATAAACAGAGGGCATAAATGAATTTTGTGGGGTGATGTATATTGATTCTGGTGAATTTTACTGTACTGAATATAAATTTTTAAATTCTTCTAACATTTTTTCATCTGCCCCTCAATTTTGCCAGGGAGTTAGTTTCTTAAGATAATTATGTCATAAAAGAAACTTTTCAGGTATAATTTGGTGTTAACTAAAATGAAAATGTAATATTAAATATAAAAAATAGAGTATTCCTTAAGAATTAAACTTTCTTAGCCCTCCTTGAGAAATGCAATTCATTCAATTTCTTCCAAAGTTTTACTTAAACTTTAATGGTGACAATCCCTTTCTGTCTAACTACATGTACTTATATACTTTCAATCTCTCTCTCTCTTTTTTTTTTTTTTTGAGATTGAGTCTCGCTCTGTTGTCCAGGCTGCAGTGCAATGGCCCAATGTCAGCTCACCACAACCTTCACCTCCCAGGTTCAGGCGATTCTCCAGCCTCAGCCTCCTGAGTAGATGGAATTACAGGCCCATACCACCATGTCCCGCTAATTTTTGTATTTTTAGTAGAGATGGGGTTTCACCATGTTGGTCGGACTGGTCTCAAACTCCTGACCTCATGATCTGCCTGCCTCAGCCTTCCAAAGTGCTGGGATTACAGGTGTAAGCCACCGCACCTGGTCTCAATCTGTCTTACTAGATACTTATTTATTTTTATGAGACAGGGTCTGGCTCTGTCACTCAGGCTGGAATGCAGTGGTGCAATCTAGGCTCACTGTAACCTCTGCCTTCTGGGTTCAAGCCATCCTCACAGCTCAGCCTCCCAAGTAGCTGGAACTACAGGCATACTCCACCATGCCTGGCTAATTTTGGTATTTTTTGCTATGTTGCCCAGGCTGGTCTCCAACTCCTGAGTTCAAGTGATCCACTTGGCTTGGCCTCCCAAAGTGCTGGGATTACAGGCATGAGCCCCTGTGCCCGGCCTAAATAAACATTTAGATAGACCTTGTGTTTTCCTCTAAAAATACTTCATAATGTCAAGGACATACCTGGCAATCAATAAATTTAACATAAAATAATGCAAGCAATGTCACTCCACTCCAAAGTCCTAACAATTTACAAAACCTTTTGAGAACAGTGTAGTCTGTACTATAATTATACCAAGAGACACAAATTTTTTTGTAGCTTAGTATCTCAAAAAGTATATATTTTTAATTCTACACAGTTTTTAATTTCTATTGGGTCTTAAGTTACAAGGAAGGTATACCAAAACTAATTCATATGAGCCAGAATCTTGCACTGAAAGGAACTTTAGAGATCATCTAGGGCAGGGGTTGGCAAACTTTTTCTATAAAGGGCCAGACCGTAAATATTTTAGGCTTTATAGGTTACAGTTGCCTACTCAACTCTGCTGTTGGTAGGCAAAGGCAATCATAGACAATAAGTAAATGGTGGTGGCTGTATTCCAACAAAACTTTATTTACACATACACACAGGAGGTCAGCTGGATTTGGCTCATAAGCTACAGTTTGCCAGATTCCTGAACAACAGTCCAGCTCCTTCATTTTACACACAAAGAAATTAAATTCTAAAGAGGTTAAGCTACTTGGCAAACGTCACCAGATAAATAGTGTAAGAACCAAATGCAATATTCTTTTCAAACCATGTATTCTTCTAGAACACAAACTTTAAAATGATTATATTTCCCACAGAGCTGAAACATAATATACTCTGTGAAAACTTAGAAAAGTCAAGTGTTATAATTTCTTAAAGTCAACAGAATGTAATGAAATTAATGTAAGTCAGAAAATAACTAGCCATCAATCCATACACACACACACATACACACCCCACCATGTTCGTATGGGTAGTTATCTGTTTTGGAATATAGCAGGAGTTCGATAAATTGTGTTGTACGAATTCAAAATATAAATTTAAATGCAATTCAGTCTTAAGCATACCCATAAGCAAAGGTGCTTTCATTTAAAACTTTCATTATCACAGGCATATGTTCCCAATAATTATCTAAAAGGGCAATAACCCTGTACCGCTGAGCAGTTGGGGTCATTTTAAAAGACTTTTCAATTAAATCATTTTAAAAATCAATTTTTAAAACAGTATGATACTTCTTCAGATGAGCTATCATACCTAGTAAATCTGCTCCTTCATCCACATCTCCTATTAGGCCTGAGCCAGCTGAAGACAGTTCTTCAAAGAGAGATTCTGTATTGCGATCAAAAGCTTTGTTCTCTATGCCTTTGGTGGGAGTGCTATGTAACAAGAACAACAAAACCAAATCAACAAATGACAAAGACTTTTTTGACAGTGTTAAAATGAATACAATACGCTAAACTACATAGGAATTTCTTACCTATAATTTACATTTACTAGAAAATATAACTTAAAAAAGATTTCTCAAAGGCTTCCTAAGAAGTTCTCACTAAGCTCCAAAGAGATAGCTGGTAAAGAAATTACAGAATGTTTTTGTTGTGTGACCCCAGAAAACACAAGCAATAATGGCAGCTCCTCTGCTCTATACCAGGTGCTGATCTAAGTGCTTTCCATAGATCACCTACGTGACAAGAAGGCAATTATGTATGTAAAAGATGGTTAGAGAAGCATTTCTCATAGTGGCAAAAATTGAAAAGACCTAAATGACCATTAATAGGGGACAGATGAGGTAAGTTATACACATATAAAGTTAAAAATTTTAGCTTTAAGATTAAAAACATAAATAGAGCTTTATAAACCAAAGAAACTCATTGTACAAAGGTTTTTTTTTTAAAATCAAGTTGCAAAACTGTGTATATACTATATGCCCTATTTTGCTAGGGTGTATAGGGGAATGCGGAAGTATATATGTTTGTGCCTGAATACTATATTAATAGAAAAAACTCTGTAGATCATTTCTAGTTAAATATGGTATAGTGAACATAGTATCACCTAGTAACTCAGAAACTCAACTAAAATGAAAGCTAAGAAATTATACACCCAAAAGGACAAAGAGAATAGACAAAGAAACTATAGCAGATAAAATGTGAATAAAATTCTGTAAGATGGAAAACAGATGGGCAAACAGTAGAAAGTGATTCAACAGACCCGAGAAAGCTGAAACATAAGCCACTGGGGTTTAGGGAGGAGATCAATATGCTGCCAGAACGCCTGAAAGGCCTAGGACTTGAAGGTACCAGCAACCGCAGGGAAAGCATGCAGGGAGGAACATGAAACAGAAGGACAGGATAAAAAAAAACTGTACGAGGACAGTACAGGACCTAGATACAATCCTCCAGAACACTGAGACCTCCCTTCTCTTGGCACAGCTCCCTGAACAATGGAAGCCAAGTTTAAATGTTATAGGCAGGAAAGTGGAGAATCAGCATTATTTACTTAAGTATGAGTAAAACAGCCACGGAGTCCTAGAAGTCTAAAGAAGACCTCTATTATAAAAGAAAGTGCCCAAAACAAAGAGGATGTGACAGAGACACTAAGAACAAAAAGAGACAATGCAGGCAGCAGCAATGACAAAAAACCAAATAACTCAATTTCTTCAGAAGAAATGTTGCATTAGTAAAACAGCAAGATGGTATAAAAAGTACCAACCAAGAAAAAGAACTTAGAAAAAAAACCAATGAGGGTTTAAAAAAAATCTGCCAACAATTAGTACAAAATAAAAAAGATAGGAAGCAGGGAAGAAAAGAAATTATGACAGTCACTCCAGAATGTTCAATACATACCTAACAGGTATTCCAGAATGAGAACAGAAGTAACAAAAATAAGAAGAAAGAGAATTTCTCAGAACTGAAAGATAGGAATTTTCAGATGAAAAGATTTATTTCATGTAAGAAGATACAAAAAGACCCTCACACCAAGCACAGCATCATTAATTTTTTAAAAAAGAAAATGACAGTCTTAAAAGATTTCAGAGAGTATATAAAAATAAGAAGTCAAATACCAACACCCTGAACTCAACACGAAAATGAAGCAATGTCTTTGCAATTCCGAAGGAAAAAATCTCCCAACCTGTAGTTCTTTATCCAGCCAAACTATCAAGTATGTCTTCTTATAAAATTTGTCACATTTGAGCTCACAGTGATTAAAAAAAAAATTTACTTGTCATGTACCTTTTGCCCAGAAACCTAGGAAGGTTAACATTCTATCAAAGCAAAGGCATAAGTTAGAAACAGGATGATGTGGGATCCAGGGAAAAAAAAGATACAACAGAGGAAAAAGGTGAAAAGATTTCCAGGGATGAAAGTGAGGGCATATTCCAGAACCAGAGCAAACTGGCAGCAATCTCAATTAAAGAATGGGAATAGAAGGCTGCAGGAGAGTGAGCACTAGGAAACAGACAGGTTTTGTGTTTGGTCATATTGGCAACTTTTACATTTATGAATTGCATAGTGCCTGCCAATGATTTAGTGACAGGTCCATAGAAACATAAGGAAAAGAAATAAAATAACCAAAAGCTTTATTAATTTCAGAAGAACAAAAAGTTGTAAAAGAAATGAAATGGGCCAGGCACAGTAGCTCATGCCTGTAATCCCAGCACTTTGGGAGGCTGAGGTGGGCAGATCACGAGGTCAAGAGTTCGAGATCAGCCTGACCAACATGGTGAAACCCTGTCTCTACCAAAAATACAAAATTAGCCGGGCATGGTGATGGGCGCATGTAATCCCAGCTACTCAGGAGGCTGAGGTAGGAGAATCACTTGAACTTGAAAGACTTGAGAATCACTGAGGGGTGGAGGTTGCAGTGAGCTGAGATCGTGCCACTGCACTCCACTCTGGGAGACAGAGTGAGACCCCGTCTTAAAAAAAAAAAAAAAAAAAAGAAATGAAATGTAATGTAATTATACTATAATCTGTGACTAAGTAGAACTGCAGATTAATTTTATAGTCATAATGATGTAAATAATATTAGCAGAATCTGAAGTATAATAATATTAGGAGGATAAAAGGATGGTGGTTTAGGCTTTATATCCTCATCTTCTACTACAGAAAGCCAACAGCTAGCACCACAGCCTTTTTCAACCAGGGTTCCTTACTTGATCTACAGAATACAGAAAAGGATTTAAGTGACTATTTTCTCCATTCTCCCAAGGAAAGTATATACCTAGAGTCCTATTCTAGATGCATAAGAGCACAGCTAATTCATTATACACAAGGGATGCTTAGGGCATTAAGACTACATTTTCTCACAGAATCTCAGCTGAAAAAGGGAGGAATGAAGGAGGAGTAGCACACGCATGTTATTCTAGATATCTGAAGACAGACAGCATGAGAGAGAGCTAAGAAGTGATAGAGTCATGCACCCTTTACCAAGAAAGCTAGTGAGGATACGCTCTGTGGAAACAAAGGCATAAATCAAGAAGCAGGGTGATGTAGGATCCAGGAAAAAGAGTGGTGACAGAACGAGAACCTGTCTGAGAAAGAGAGAGAGAGAGAGAGAGAGAGACAGACAGAGGGTTCTGGATTTGAATCCCAGGTCCACCTCTTGTTCGCTTGGTAATCTGGGACAAACTACTTGAACAAGTTCTAAGTCTCTTTATTTACAAAATAAGGATAAAAACATCTACCTCATAAGGTTATAATCAGGATCAAATTATATAAAATCATGATGAAAACAATAATATTAGTTTAACATTTATTGAATGGGGCATTTCGCAATGACTTATCATACAATGACTCATTTAATCCTCACAACCATCTGAGGTATTAACATAATGCTGTTTTCTAGATGAGAAAACATGCTTAAGATTCAAATCCAAAACAGGATTTGAACCCATGCAGTCTTACACTAGGGTCTATACTTTTAACCGCTACAGCATACTGCACAATGCTTAACATGGATAAATAAATGGCATGCATTCTCATAGTCGTTAATTAAAAGATAAACTTTATGGAAGAAATGAAAATAAAGGCAGTAGCTCCTATCTGATATTCCTGAGCATCAATGTATTCTGGATAATTCTGATTAGGATGATATCTAATCTCCCAGTACTTTGGGAAGTGGAGGGGGGCATGTAACTTGTGCTCAGGAGTTTGAGACCAGCCTGGCCAATGTGGTAAAACCCCATCTCTACTAAAAATATAAAAAGTAGCCTGGTGGGGTGGCGCACACCTGTAGTCCCAGCTACTTGGGAGGCTGAGGTGGGAGAATCGCTTGAACCCAGGAGGACAAGATTGCAATGAGCCAAGATAGCACCACTGCACTCCAGCCTGGGTGACAGAGCGAGGCTCCATCTCAAAAACAAAAAAACAAGAAACAAAAAAAAGGGATGATGTCTAACCATTTTCTTCCTACCACTAAACAGCCTTCCCATGTAAAATGAGACTAATTTCTTCCAATAATGAAATTATAGTTCTCAAGATGGAAGTACATTCTCCCTTCCTGATCTGGGGGAAAGGTACAAAAGTTTGTCCAAACTTTTTTGTTTTGTTTTTTAAATTACGTTTATTTAGCATATGTACACATAAAAAAGAAATTGCCTTCTGAACACACCCTGCAGAAAACACGCACAAACCCAAGGTATGTGTTGGGGGAGGGGCCTCAGTCCCAAGTTAGTAGCTAGGTGATGTAATCTTGAGAGTCACAAGCCCCAGTCAGGAGAGGGCTAGGCTGAAGTGTCAGGCAGGTTGGAGTCTCCTGACACTGGCCCTACAATAAGCATGCTCTATAACCAAAGGTCTTTTTCATGCCCTCAAAGTAGCACTGCAGCCAGCCCCCAGCCAAGTCCACTCTGTTACTTCCCTTCACTCCTGCTTCTTGGTTTCCTCAAGTTACAGAAACTATGGGATATGTCTTGGCTATCTTTTTCCCCCTATCTGCTATGGTTTGAATGTGTACCCTATAAAATTCAGTTGTTGCCAATGTGATAATATTAAGATAGGACCTTCAAGAGGTGATTAGGCCATAAGGGCTTCTCCCAGGTTAATAGGACTGGGATCCTTATAAAATAATGAAGCTTTATCCAGTGTTCAGGGCTCACTTGTCCTGCTATGCAAGGGCATAGAGTTCCTCCCCTCCAGAGGATGCAGCAACAAGGCACCAACTTGAGAGCAAACAGCAGCCCTCACCAGACAACTCACCCTGCCAGCACCTTGATCTTGGCCTTCCTAGCCTCCAGAACTGTGAGAAAATTAATTTCTGTTCTTTATAAATTGGCTAGGCACAATGGCTCACGCCTGTAATCCCAGCAATTTGGGAGGCTGAGGTGGGTGGCTAACGAGGTCAGGAGTTTGAGACCAGCATGGCTAATATGGTGAAATCCCATCTCTACTAAAAGATACAAAAAAAAAATTAGCTGGGCGTGGTGGCGGGTGCCTGTAATCCCAGCTACTCGGGAGGCTGAGGCAGGACAATCACTTGAACCTGGGAGGTGGAGGTTGCAGTGAGCTGAGATCATACCACAGCACTCTAGTCTGAGCAACAGAGCAAGACTCTGTCTCAAATAAATAAATAAATAAATAACCAACCCACTCTGGTATTTTGTTATAGCAGTACAAAATAGACTAAGACACCATCCTTCCTACTTATGCACCTCATCTGTGATGCTGCAAAGGTAACATTTCACAAAAAATGTAAACCATGTACAGTGTCCAGTTTCAAGAACAGGAATTAGAATCTAATACCAACATTTCTTCAACGAAACATCTGAATCCATTTTATTCAGTCAGAGACTGGAGGACAGTGTTTATCGGAGTTTGGGGGAGGGAAGATGTCTTCATCTGACATTTATTTTACCTTGAACCTTTATATCCACTGAGATCTTTATCCATATCCAACTCAGGAGTAGATTCAATGATCGCTTGAACTTCTGACTTCTCTTCATTTTCAGCAGAGCCTTTAAAAAGGACATGATGAAATAAGCAATACATATATTACATATCACCCCAATATAAATATCCTGTTGTTTTTAAGGTTGTAAAGGTATCATTTGAACATTTTTCAAAAATGTACAAGACTGGGTTTTAGGAAACACAGCATTAGACAACATGTCATATGTTCAGTTAACAGTTCATACCAAAAACTAATAAGCAACCAAAGAAAGTTTGCCTTTGTGTTTCGTGGAACAAAGTGCAATGTATCCAAGGTCCTACTTTCATTCCTATTTAAAAGATGGAATTTAAAGAAACTAAAGATAAAGACTAAACTAAGATAGGGGACAGAAATGAACTGTCCTCCTGTCTTTTAGGCTCTCAGACCTGGCCCGCAACTCCTGGCACCAATAGTTTCTCTCCAAGACTATTAAGCATTACCTCTTTTAAGCTTATTTGCAACTGAATACAATTAAGTACAGTCTTCTCTTGGTATCCATGGGGGACTGGTTCCAGAACCCACCAAAATACCAAAATCCATGGATACTCAAGTTCCTTACATAAATGGTATTGTATTTGCATATAACCTATTAATATCCTCCCATTACTTTAAATCATCTGTAGATTACTTATAATACCTAATACAACATAAATGATATGAAAGTAATTGTCATACTGTACTGTTTAAGGGACAATAATAAGAAAAAAGTATATGCATGTTTAGTACAGGTAGAGCTTTTTTTTTTTTTTTTTTTCTTCAAATATTTTCAATCTACAGCTGGTTGAATCAACAGATGCAGAACCACAGATACAGAGGGCCAACTATATCTGCCTATTTTATAAATACAAAGCAGGCAACACCTGCAAAGACATATTTTCTCATACCCACATTATCTGGGTTTACTGAATACTTTCCTAATAAGTAAAGAACTAGGGTCACTCACCAGTAGATACATTTCTAGTTTCTTGGGCTACCTGTACTTCAATGTGTTTGCTTATCTCTGACTTATTTGGTGTATCTGTAATCTTCACAAATTCTTCATTTTCTTCCTTTAATGGAGTATCGGGAGGAATTGTTGCCACATCTGAATTAGCTGTTGATGCTGGAGTGGTAGCTTTAGATCCGCCTTGGCTAACATCAGAAAGCTCATCCTACAAACAAAAATAATTTAGAATAAAATTTTAAATGACATATTTACTCTAAGCCACATTAAATGGGGTAAGAAATAAACCTACTAGAGAAAGTTCTTTTTTTTTTTTTTTAAATAAAGGCAATAAAGAGCCACTGATTATCAATAAATTATCTCTCTAGTCCCTCTGCAAATAATTGGAAAATATTTAAGTAAATCACATTTTTTCAGATGAGATTTTTCTAAACAGAAAATTTGAAAATAAAAGAATTATTACCAATAAAACTATGCATTAATGTCCACATCATTCTCTGTAATAGCTGCTCTAAAACAGCAGGAGAATAACCAAATTCTTAATCTCAGGGTTTCTTTGTAAAGTGTGGTATTAAAACATCCTGCATCTAAATCCTTTGAAGTACTTAAGGTGCTTGCTAAAAGGGCAGATTCCAGCCACGCACATGCCTGTAATTACAGCTGAGGCGGGAGGATCCCTTGAGCCCAGCAAGACCTTGTCTCTTTAAAAAAAAAAAAAAAAAAAAAGAGAGAGAGAGAGAGAGAGCAGGGATTAAGGAGGTGAAGACAGAGTCTACATCCAACTCCAGACTTAATGTACCCAACTTTAGGCACTGAGAATAGGTAACAAGCAATCCAGGTGAGTTACATACTCATTGAAATTTGATTACTATTATAGGATCTACAGATAGGTTTCAAGACGTATGTGCAGACTGAAACTGTATGCAAAAATTTGTGTACAATGTGTTTTTCTGGGAAAAGAATCTATAGCTTTTATCAGATATTCAAAGGGGTTTGCAGCTTCAAAGTAATTAAAAGCAATTGTCCAGTGGCTATCAAGAATGAAGATCTTTTGGAGCACCCAGGTTTTAAAAAAAGAGAACCTGACAAAAAGTTTACTGTCACCACCGCCACCAGTAGTAATAATAATAATAATAATGATTAGGGTAAATTAAGTGAATTTATCATTCACTAAATGCATGACCTTGGGTAAGTTACATATTCCTTCTATACCTTTATCATCTATAAAATAGACATAATGATGTCTACTTCATAAGATTACAAATTATTCTACATTATGGCTTAGCAATGTGTTTCACACATACTAAGTATTTAAAATATTGGCTATTATTATAACAGTAACTATTTGTATAATTATAAATATATAATTATATTTTATTCATATATTTATAATATTATAAATTATATATACTATATATAATTCCCTTAAGGGAGTATTAGTAGGAATTGTTGCCACATCTGAATTAGCTGTTGATGCTGAAATGGTAGCTTTAGATCCACCTTTGCTAACATCAGAAAGGTCAACCTACAAATAAAAGTAATTTAGAAGAAATTTTAATTGAGTAATTTATTCCAAACTACTTTAAAAATGAGTTAAGAAATAAACTTTTTTTTTTTTTTTTTTTTGCCCAGCCTAGGCAACCTGGCGAAACCCTGTCTCTACTAAAAATGCCAAAAATTAGCCCAGCATGGTGGTACATGCCTGTAGTCCCAGCTACTAGGGAAGGTTAAGGCCTGAGAATCGCTTGAACCCAGGAGGCAGAGGTGAGCTGAGATTGTGCCCATGTTACAAGAATTCCCATTCTTTTTTTTTGTTTTCTCTTTTAAGACTAGTCAAGTGCAGTAGTGAGACGGGGGGAAAGAGTAGAACAAGGAGTTCGATCTGTAACTAACTGAGAACAACCGAGATAACTCACTACTTTCAGACTAGCCATGAATTCCCATTCTTAAAGGTTTCGAAAGTAATACACATTAAAAAATATAAAATAAACAGTCTATATTTCTGATAAACAGTGCTGATGAAAGCAGTTAAAACCCATTAAGACTGTGGATTCAGAAAGACCTAGAGAATATTGAGTTCATCTATATGAGAAAGTGATATGCCTTTGAAACTATATTGCAAATAAATAATTTTAGGTCAATCCTGGAATTGTCATTTACCTCTTAAACATAGAGACATTATTTCTTCTTCCTCCTTATTATTCCAGGCCCCTCACTCCCTCCAAAAGCCAGATTATTTTCACCTTAGAGAAAATTGTATTTAGTAATTTAAAAGTTCACAACATACAAAGTGTGGCAAAAGCCCACTTTCCTAAATTCATTTGTGGATCTGACAGCATGAAATAAAATAACCAGAAGATAGTCTAGATATCATTGGGAGAAAAGAAAAAAAAAAGAAAGAAAATAACCAGGAGAGAGCTGAACCTAAAACAGGAAAGGGACTGTGATACCTCAGCAATCCCAAGGTTTTAGGCTACAAGGAAGTGGTGAATCAGGATCTACTTAAAAGAAAATGATGTTTTAAATTTATCCTAGGCTATCCAAATAACATGAGATTTGCTTATCTGTAACTTACTTCCCTCTTATACTTACCACATAAAAATAGTTTACACTGTTTAAAATAGCTCATTGTGTGGGCTGTACTTCTGACAACTAGATTGCAAGGATACAGCATGAGATTAGGGAAACCAGGTTTGTTTTTTTTTTTTTTTTTTTTTTTTTTTTTTTTTTTTTTTTTTTTTTTTTTTTTTTTTTTTTTNTGAGATGAAGTTTTGCTCTCGTTGCCCAGGCTGGAGTGCAATGGTGCAATCTTGGCTCACCACAACCTCTGCCTCCCAGGTTCAAGTGATTCTCCTGCCTCAGCCTCCGGAGTAGCTGGTATTATAGGCATGCACCACCATGCCTGGCTAACTTTGTATTTTTAGTACAGATGGGGTTTCTCCATGTTGGTCAGGCTGGTCTCAAACTGCCAACCTCAGGTGATCCACCCACTTCGGCCTCCCAAAGTGCTGGGATTACAGGCATGAGCCACTGTGCCCAGCCTCAAAACCATTTTCATAAGAGGTCTTTCTCCTTGGTATCCCAGGCAGTGGGGACATAAAGCTACTAAGATTAGCAAAAAAGCACTTTGATGGGAAATCGGCCACAGCATTTGGCCAGAGGCACAATATTCTTGTACCATCCCTCACTAACTGCTTCCAATTAAAGATACAATGAGACAAAGTGCAGCGGCTCATGTGTGTAATCACAGCCCTTTGGGAAGCCAAGTTGGGTGGATCACCTGAGGTCAGGAGTTTGACACCACACTGGTCAACATGGTGAAACCTTGTCTCTACTAAAAATACAAAAATTAGCTAGGCATGGTGGCATATGCCTGTAGTCCCAGCTACTTGGGCGGTTGAGGCACAAGGATCACTTGAATCCAGAAGGGGGAGGAGGCTGCAGTGAGCTGAGATCACACCACTGCACTCCAGCCTGGGCAACAGAGCGAGACCGGTTAAAAAAAAAAAAAAAAAATCAGCCTATTAAAAATTAAAATATACTACTTTTGGTCAAATGTATGCTCATAAGATAATACAATCATGTGCCACATCCCCATAATGACGTTTTGGCCAATAACAGACAACATACAGTATACATGGTGGTGATTCCATAAGATTAAAACGGAGCTGAAAAATTCCTGTTGCCCAGTGATGTTGCAACTGTCATAATATCCTAGTGCAATGCACTAGGGTGTTAACAAAACAACTGCACTGCTGGGTGTATAAAAGGACAGTACATACAATTCTATACAGTATATAATACTTGATAATGATAAACAACTATGTTACTAGTTTACGTATTTACTATACTTTTCATTGTTAGAGTATACGCCTCCTTCTACCTAAAAAAAAATAAAGTTAACTATAAAACAGCCTCAAGTAGGTCCTTCAGGAAGTACCCCAGAAGACACTGTCATCATAGGAGATGACAGGTTCATGTGTGTCATTGCCCCTAAAAACTTTCCAGTGGGACAAGATGTGGAGGTAGAAGATACTGACACTGATGAACCTGACCCTGTGTAGGCCAAGGCTAATATGTGTGTGTCTTGGTTTTTAACAAAAAAATTTAAAAAGCAAAAATATATATATATTTAAAAATAGACAAAAGCTTATAGAATAAGGATATAAAGAAAATATTTTCATATAGCTATATAATGTGTTTGTCTTTTAAGCTAACCATTATTACAAAAGTCAAAAAGGTAAAAATAATGTTAAAGTTTATAAAGTAAAAGAGTTATCGTAAGCTAAGGCTAATTTATTATTGAAGAAAGAAAAATAAATAAATAAATGCAGGGTAGTTTAAGTGAACAGCATTTTATAAAGTCTACAGCAATGTCCAGTAATGCTCTAGGCCTTCATATTCACTCACTGCTCTCTCAGACTCACCAAGGGCAATTTGCAGTCCTGTAAGCTCCCTCCATCCATGGCAGGTGCTCTATAGAGGTAAACCATTTAAACCTTTGATATTGTATTTTTGCCATATCTTTTCTATGTACAAATACCATTGTGCTACAACTGCCTGTAGTATTTGGTACATGCTGTAGAGGTTGCAGCCTAAGAGCAATAGGCCATACTATGTAGTTTGGGTGTGTAGTAAGCTATGCCCTCTAGGTTTATGTAAATTCACTCTGTGATATTCCTACAGCAAAATCACCTACCTACACATTTCTCAGAATGTATCTCTGTCATTAAACGACACATGACTATATACACCAACAAGGGAAAATTCTTATGAGGTCCCAATTGAAAGGCATTTATTATGAATCATTCAACATAAAGTTCCAGGGGAGTTGAATGTTGTTATTTCACATTCAATCTGTGGCTTCTTGAGACTGCAAATTCCTATTTTATATTAGGTCATGTGCCAGGCTGTGCTGTTTTGGCTAATGGTCTTGACTGCAAATGGCCCATAGCCTATCAAATCCTATTGTCTGACATCATTAAGATATGTTTTTCAATGGCGTGAGTGGTGTCAAACACAGAGACTTCCACAGTTGTCTCTTTCTAACATATTTATTTTATAGCCCCATTTTCCCCTTTCGAGCCTTTAAGGAACTGCCACATTGCAGGTGTACATGTCACTACAGAATGTTCACATAAAGCAAGTAAAAGATTTGGAACTGCATATAAAAGAATGGTATGCCTGTGCATATTTAAGTTGTGCTTTGAAAAAAAAAAAGAGATGCAATTCAAAGATAATACACAAATGGCCAAGAAGCATATAAAATGGTAATCAACATCACTAATCACTGAAAAAATGCAAATCAAAACCACAATGAGCTATCACCTGGCCCCCATTAGGATGACCACTATCAAGAAAAAGAGGATGTGAATATATCGACACTTTTGCATTGCTGGCAGGATTGTAAAATGATGCAACCACTCTGGAAAACAGTACAGAAGTTCCTAAAAACATTAAAAATAGAACTACTGTATCATTCAACAATCTCATTTCTGGGTATGTATTCACAAAAGCATTATTCATAACAGCCCTAAGGTGAAACCAACACAAATGTCCATCAACAAGCAAAATGTGGTATATACATACAATTAAATACTACTCAGCCTTAAAAAGGAAGGGAATTCTGTCACACGCTATAACATGAATAAACCTTGAGGACATTATGGTAAATAAAATAAGCCAGTCTCAAAAAGACAAATACTACATGATTCTATTTATGTGAGGTATTTAATATGTGATGTCAAATTCACAGAAACAGAAAGTAAAATGGTAGTTTCCAGGGGCTGGAGGAGTTGGAAAGGAAGTCATTATTTAATGAGTTAGTTTTAGATTTGCAAGATGAAAAATTCTGGCAGTCTGTTTTACAATATGAATATACATAACACTACTGAACTGTATACTTACACTACTGAACTGTATACTTAAAAACAGTTAAGATAGTATTTTTTTTTCTCCCTGTGGAGACCACCTCAAAGCTTATAAGATGGTAATTTTTGTGTGTTTTTACCACACACACAAAATAAATGTCATTACTTTTAGTTTCACTTGAGATACTGTAGTAAAAGCAATCCGGTCTTTGAGTCATTTTCTTATGGGTTTTAAATACCATGCTAAAAGTCTATAAGCTCTTCAAAATATTTTCAGTTGTTCCATTTATCAAATGTGTCATGTGCTCAGTGCTATATAGAATATATATGTCATGTATTATCTGGCACTGCAGCACAATTATTTTCTAACTCACTGCAAACTATGTTTACAACTAGAGAAAATAAACTATTCCATTAAGGACAACTTACAGACACTACATGCCAATGTAGTGTTTTCCTGAGTAGCCTGCCTAACTTCTGAAATAAGCTAAACGAAGGCAAGCAACTCAGATTTGAAGATTTTAAGCCAAATTAAAATAAAGACAAAATTACAAACAAGTAACTAGCCCCACATAGAATCTCTCACCATTAACACAAATCACATTATAATTTTATACTTACATTTCTTTCTCCCCAAGTAAAAGTAAGTCTCTAAAGCACTGGTTCTTAAAACTCTTTTGATTTACAGCTATGTGGCATATGTACATGCATTCTTCTGGAGAGTTTCAAATAATTTGATTCCTAAGAGTCTGTGACCCAAAGAGAACACTAAAAACCATAACTCTAGATACTCACATTTAGTTTGTAAAACACATCTAAGTGTAAACAGAATTGTAGCTTCAAGAGAATTCAATTATTAAAGGAAAGGTATGAATGTCCTAACACCGAGTATATTTTGAAGGAAGAGGATATTGTTCCACTGCTGATGCTAGAGAGCTTCCATGGGCCCAGGTCAACCACTGACCTAGCACACAGCAGAAAGTCACAGATATCTTGTTATTCTCGGTGCCCAGCATAACAAGCCTAACATGTAGCAGGCTTTTTTTTTTTTTTTTGAGACAGAGTCTTGTTCTGTTGCCCAGGCTGGCGGCAGTGGTACCATCTTGGCTAACTCCAGCCTCTACCTCCCAGGTTCAGGCAATTCTCCGGCCTCAGCCTCCGGAGTAGCTGCGATTACCGGCATCTGCCACCATGCCCAGCTAATTTTTGTATTTTTATTAGAGACGAGGTTTCACCATATTGGCCAGGCTAGTCTCAAACTCCTGACCAAGTGATCTGCCTGCCTCGGCCTCCCAAAGTGTTAGGATTTCAGGCGTGAGCCACTGCACCCAGTCTGTAGTAGGCTCTTAATAGATGTTTGCTGAATAAAGCTGAATGGTGCCCTGACTGGAGATGAAGAACTCTATTAAACTAAAGAAGCAGCCCATAGTAAAATGTCACACTAGGCCATATCCAGGACACATACAAGTTACATATATTATGTCCTGAGGCAGATATTTCTGGAAAGTATACCATTCATTACATAGAGCTGGATAAATGGAAAGAGGCCAAATTTCACAGGATTTACTTATATTTTCTTTATTTAAAAATGCTTACTTTGGGGAAGGAATAAATTACAGATTACAGTAAAGCCCTGACAACCACTGTAATAGAAATAATTTTCTTTTATATTTCAGTGAATTACATCAATAGTCTTCAAAACTGAGCATTTAATGTCTTAAGAATAGCAGTTGAGGAAGTAATCGATAGTTAATCACTTTAGTGTATTTTTTTGCAAAATGTTAAGAAGCACCATTCTCACCTCCTGTTCTACAGCCTTCAGAGGTTCGGGACTATTGCTGACCTAGGAAAAAGGAAGATTATAAAAGAGAAAAAAATCATGTGTTTACTAGGTTCTAACACAGCTGTATCTTTGGCTTGCACTATCTCCCAGGATATAAGATTCAACTATTATCTACCGTGTTTAAAATGAATGTTTGCAGCCTTTGTTTTGTTTTGACTTAAGCAGACCTTAAGACCGTAGTTTAAGTAATATCATGGTTCAGACGCCACCACTTGGATCAGTGTCTATTATTTATCAACATGCAGCTCATTATTTAACATTTTTTTCTGCTTACATCACTTTATGAAATCTTCCTGAGATTTATTCCCATCCCTTCGACTATTTAACATACTAATATTCTAGTGCAGCATACTTAGAAATGTTTATCACACCTCCTTTCTCTTCTATCATTACTGAATCAGTTAGATAACACTAATGATCGAAGGATCATTAAAATCTAAATACTTCTTTTTTTTTTTTTTTTTTTTTTTCTTTTGAGACAGGGTCTCACTCCTATCACCCAGGCTGGAGTCAAGTGACACAATCATGACTCATTGCAGCCTCAACTTTGCAAGGGTTGGGTGATTCTTCCACCTCAGCCTCCCAAGTAGCTAGGATTACAGGTATACCCTACCATGCCTGGATACTTTTTTACGTTTTTAGTAGAGACTTGGTCTTCCCATGTTGCCCAGGCCAGTCTCAAACTCCTGGGCTCAAGCAATTCACCCACCCTGGCCTCCCAAAGTGCTGAGATTACAGGCGTGTGCCACGTGCACAGTCCCAAATTCTTTTTCATAAAAATCTATTTATTCATATTCTCTATTTCTATCTATACACTTTTCCTCTATGAAACAGATGTGTTATCTCTTAAATACAAAGCAACAGTTTTAAATATTCTTGGTCTGGAAATTCATTAAAGTCTTTTTGAAAGGCTACTAGCTCTCAGTTATGCCCTTAAAAATACACAGATTAGCAAGGCATGATTCACTTGTAGGAACTACACTGCCTCTTCTTTAATAGATGTGGTTTTTCACCCTTAGCTTTACTGAGGTATAACTGACAAATACATATACAGTTAAGGGGATTTTTTAATACACACTGTGAAAGAATCACCACAGTCAAGCCAATAAACTTATCTAGTGCCTCACACATTTTTGGTGATAAAAGCACTTAATGTTTATTTATATGATATTTGATTCTGGATAATCATCATCTTTAATCATTCTCTTCATCTAAAACTCGGTAAAAACTTGGATAGCACTCTCTATATAAAAGTAGAAAGATTGTCAAGACATGTTACTAAATGAAAAAAAAAAAAAGCAAGCAGCAGGGAAATACTTATAAACCCACGTATCTTAAAAAAGCAGTATCTATGTGCACCTGTAAAGAAAAGGACCAAGGACACATCAACTATTTACAAAGATGGGGCGGGGAGGGGGGAGAGAATGAAATTTAGGGTTGAAGAAACTTCCCATATCTACTCTATATTCTTCAGTATTACTAAAAATTGTGAAACTGAAGTAATATAATTTTTTTAGACACAGGATCTTGCTGTATTCCCCAGGGTGGTGTGTCATGGCTATTCACAGGCATCATTATAGTGCACTGCAACCTGGAACTCCTGGCTTCAATCAGTCTTCTCACCTCACCCTCCCGAGTAGTTAAATAACTTTTTAAAAGAAATTACAGGCCGGGTGCAATGGCTCACGCCTGTAATCCTAGCACTTCGGCAGGCCCAGGTGGGCGGGTCACCTGAGGTTGGGAGTTCAAGACCAGCCTAACCAACATGGAGAAACCCCGTCTCTACTAAAAATACTAAATTAGCTGGGCGTGGTGGCAGGCAACTGTAATCCCAGCTACTCGGGAGGCTAAGGCAGTAGAATCACTTGAACCTGGAAGACAGAGGTTGCAGTGAGCCAAGACTGCACCAATGCATTCCAGCCTGAGCAACAAGAGTGAAACTCCATCTCAAAAAAANCACCCGCCTCGGCCTCCCAAAGTGCTGGGATTACAGGCTTGAGCCACCGCGCCCGGCGCTATTTTTAATTTTTTTGAGAGGGAGTCTCACTCTGTCACCCAGGCTGGAATGCAGTGGCGTGATCTTGGCTCACTGAAACCTCTACCTCTGGGTTCAAGTCCCACCTCAGCCTCCAGAGTAGCTGGGACTACAGGTGTGTGCCACCACACCTGGCTAACATTTGTGTTTTTGGTAGAGACAGGGTTTCACCATGTTGATCAGGGTGGTCTCAAACTCCTGACCTCAGGTGATCCACCCGCCTCAACCTCCCAAAGTGTTGAGACTACAGGCTCATTCAGAGATCTTGACCTCTTAGGAAAAGAAAATGACCAAAAAAATTGTCCTGGTTTGTTTTATGTTGCTACAACAGAATAACACAGATTGGGTAATTTATAATAAACTCGAAATTATTTGACTCACAATTTTGGAGGCTGGGAAGTCCAAGACTGAGGGGCCACGTCGGGTGAGGGCCTTTTCACTGCATCATCCCTGGCCAAAGGCGAAGAGCAAGAGAGCACGTGAAATAGCAAGAGAGGGCTGAACTTGCTTTTATAACACACCCACTCTTGTGATGATGAACCCACTCATTAGACACACAGGTAAAATAGATAATGATACTAACCCATCCATGAGAGCAAAGCCCTCATGACCTAACCACCTCTTAAAAGTTCCACCTGTCACCACTATTGCTCTTGGGATTAAGTTTGCAACACATGATGCTTGCGGGAGACCTTCGAACCATAGCAGGAATAAATCAGGTAAGAGGGTGTGGGTCTTGGTCCATGTGTCACTATAAAGGAATACTTGAGGCCAGGCAAGGTGGCTCATGTCTGTAATCCTAGCACTTTGAGAGGCTGAGGCGGGTGGATCACGAGGTTAGGAGATGGAGACCATCCTGGCTAACTCGGTGAAACCACATTCCTACTAAAAATACAAAAAATTAGCCGGGCGTGGTGGCACATGCCTGTAGTCCCAGCTACGCAGGAGACTGAGGCAAGAAGAATCACTTAAACCAGGGAGGTGGAGGTTGCAGTGAGCTGAGATCCTGCCACTGTACTCCAGCCTGGGCAACAGAGCGAGGCTCCATCTCAAAAAAACAAATACAAACACAAACACAAACAAACAAATAGGAATACTCGAGGCTGGATCATTTATAAAGAAGAGAAGTTTATTTGGCTCATGGGTCTGCAGACTGTAGAAAAATGTGGCACTGCCATATGCCTCTGGCAAGGGGCTCGGGCTGCGTCTACTCATGACCAAAGGCTAAGAGGAGTTGGCGTGCGCAGGGGTGCAGAGATCACGTGGCAAGAGAGGAAGCAAGAGAGACGGGGGAAGTGCCAGGCTCTTCTTAACAACCAGCTCCCGTAGGAACTAATAGAGTGAGAACTCGCTCACCACTCAAGGAGGACACCGAGCCGGTCATAAGGGATCTGTCTCCATGACGCAAAAACCTCCCACTGGGACCCACCTCCACCATTGGTGATCAAATTTCAATGTGAGGCTTGAGGGACAAACATCCAAACTACAGCAGTGGGCAAGAGTAGTGACAATGACTACAAGGAAAGTAAGATTCAACCCTCCCCTTCGGTGGTACGGCTCGAGGTAATTCAGTGTGATGGACAGACTCATAGTTTTTTTTTTCAAGACAGAGTCTCGCTCTGTCACCCAGGCTGGAGTGCAGTGGTGCCATCTCAGCTCACTATAACCTCTGCCTTCCGGGTTCAAGTGATTCTCCCACTTCAGCCTTCCCAGTAGCTGGGATTACAGGCACCCACGATCACAACCAGCCAATTTTTCTATTTTTAGTAGAGATGGGATTTTACCATGTTTGCCAGGCTGGTCTCGAACTCCTGACCTCAGGTAAACACCTACCTTGGCCTCCCAAAGTGCTGGGATTACAGGTATGAGCCACTGTGCCTGGCCAGATCCATAGTTTTTTTTTTGTTGGTTTTTGTTTTTATCCATAGCTTTTTAAATAACTGCCACAAGAGAAAAATTACTGGTGATGTGTCTTTGTCCTTGTTTTATGTTTTCGTTAATGACTTAAATGGCAACATCGAAAGCATGCTTCATACTCATCAATGTCACAAAACTCGGGAAGGTTGCTTGGTAATAGACTCAATATCCAAAAAGTTCTCCTTGGTTGGGATGTGAAAATGAAACTAACAAATAGAACTTCATAAAATTACATATTCAATCAATTAACTAATTAATGTCAGTTAATATTAAATCAATTGCATATCTAATTTATGCCCAGTCTGACAGTTTCTTATGGAAGAAGACACATGAGCTAACAGAATGAAGAGCCTGCTAAGAAATTTAACACAATATTTTTTTTTTTTTTTTTTTTGAGACGGAGTTTTGTGCACCAGGTAGCATTTGACTCAATTAATCTTTCATTTAAACGCCACAGAATAAAATATATATCCCTTGAATTCAAACTGGAATGGCGGAAAGGTGGGGAGACACAACTCTCCCTGATAGAAGAATTTCAATTAATAAATTTAGAATAAAGAAAACAGAAAATAACCATTAGCAATATTTTACTAATAATTGTTGTAGGAAAAATTCACTGATGAACGCTAAAATCAGTGAATGAAAGTTTGAGCAGAAACAGGGTATCTCCATAGTCTCAAAGTATATCCACACCAAGATATTAGATTCTGTTGTATTCTTGCTGAAAATACATAACCTCAATCTAATAATGAGAAATCAGAGAAACCCAAATGGAGAGACATTCTACAAAATAACCAGTACTCTTCAAAAGTCTCAAGGTCAGGAAAGACAAGACAAGACAAGACTGAGGAATTGCCACACACTGGGAAGATTGGAGCAATGTGAAAGCCAGATGTGGTGGCTCATGCCTATAATCCCTGCACTTTGACAGGCGGGGAGACAAGGAGACCACTTGAGGCCAGGAGTTTGAGAACAACCTGGGCAACACAGTGAGACCCTGTCTGCAATAACTTTTTTTTTTTTTTTTGAGATGGAGTTTTGCTCTTGT